GCAGTAAAGGTTAATTGTTCATGTCCTTATGCAAATAGACATTGCACGAAGTGCAGTGATGTGAAAAATAAAAAGTGGAAGTGCTGAAGGAGCTGCAGTGTTTCCTGAGGACGGCTGGAAATTATTCAGCTGCCTGCAGAATGGATCTGAAGGCATACACTAGGAGCACGTTGGTGGCTAGGCTTTGAAGCTGGTGAGAGCAGTCTTGGCATAACAGAGCTGTGCTTTCTGCCTGTGAGATTCCTAGCAGCAGAATGATCCCAGCACCTGCCCCGCAGCTGGGCATCCTGCTGCTGCACGGTGTGCTTGGAGCAGCACGGCCGGAGCCCCATGGCTGGGCCCCTCTGAGCCAACCCAACCTCACAGGACGGCTCGTGCAGGCTGAGGAGCACGGTGGCAGCCCGAGGCCTGCAGCCCTGCCGTGCCCCGAGCCTGGCACGCTGTGCTGCTGGCCTGCCAGGAGCCGTGGGGCTGCTGCAAAAGCTCCTCGAGAGCTGTCAAGTCGGGGCTGTGCGATGCATCAGGGCAGCTGTCTGGAATGTAGGGCATTGGGACAGCAGCGCGAGGCTGGGCGAGCAACAACGCTTCAGGTTTGGAAATAGTGACAGGTCCTCGGGCAGGCTGGTGCCGGGCCAGGAGGAGGAGCCGGGCAGAGCTTCGAGCGGCAGGAGCGAGTGGCAGCGGGCGAGGGGCTGCGGGCAGGGCGAGGGGCGGCCGGCTGCCTGGGGCTGCGGAGAACAGGTAACGGAGCGTCTGTCTGCTAATTGTACCGCTTAACCTTAGGAACGCTACTGTAGGTTGTTTGTTTGTTTGTCTCTGCCAATCAGTAATTACTTTAAAAAAATGTGATTTTCCCACCAAAAAGAAAATGGACAATTCTCATTATGCGTTTTTCCGTTTCTGTGATTCCTGTCCCAGGGAAAGATGTAGCCAGAGGAACTCATATTCTTGTCAGTGGGCTTCAGTGCTAGAGGAAAGATGGATGTTAGGTTTGTTATAGGAAAAAATACATAAATAGCATGAACATAAGCCTCTAAAGAAATAAGACGTATTTGCCTTTTTATTGCTTCCTGTCTACCGTAACAACTTGTTCCTCATTTAATTTCTCCTCCCCTTTTTAAAACACCAAATAACATCTCCTACATACAAGCGTTAAATCCAGAAGGCTCAGAAGGCATTCATACCACATGTGGTAGTTTACACCTTCCACTCTTCCCTCAAGATTCAGCTGTTGGCCCTGCAACGTGACACTGTTTATTATTGGCAGCTCCCACCTGACCGATCTGAGTTTTATGGTCTTTTCTGTCTAATGATCCTGCTCACAAATAGGTGGGTAGGGAAGGCTTGGGATCAAAGCATAAGCCACAGATTTCACAACATTTTCTTGGCAAAACAAGGTGTTGATTTAGCTGCTGGCTGGAATCTGCAGACCTTCATTAAGGTGTTCTCCTTATGATGACTCTGATAGCATCTTCCCTCCTGTCTCCATGGGAAGCCCTCAGCCCAGCAGCACGGCCTCGGCTGGCACAGCGCTGTGAGCAGGTGGGAGCCATGGCGGAGCGGCACATGGCCGTCTCCTTTAGGGGTATCTCAGGCCCAGCAGCAGTCCTATTTTCAGCCTCAGAACAGGTGCCCAGAGCCTTGTTTACAAAGGACGGGCGAGCAGGCGTTGATCCGGGGGGGATTTCACGTGCTGTTCTGAAGCAGCTGCATCCATACGACAGTTGTTTCCACATCCCCCTGTCCATCCCAGCAGGGCAGCCGCTGCCTTCAGACCGGGCACGTGGGCCTCAAAAATCATGTTTGCTTGAGGCCTGCCTTACCTTCTGCTTCACTGACAGACAAAGCTCTTTGCAGTTACTTGGGCTGAAGAAATAAATTATTTAACTTGTGAAGTGCCTGAAGGACTCAGAGATGAAATGGTGCCCTGCCTGTTAACTGGTCCTGGTACTGGCAAATGGTTTAAAATAGAGTGGCTAAGTGTGGCTGGAGGGCAAAGCTGGAGCTCTGCTGTCTGGTGTCTGCAGCAGCATGGCACGAGGGAAGGCGTGTGGTGCAGAAATGAGTGCACAAGAACAGCTGGCCGTGGAGGGGGTGCGATGGCTGCGGTCGGGCCGTGGTGGTCCAGCAGGCACTGCAGCACACTGCCATGTGAGCTCGGGCTCTGTGCTGCAGGTACGGCCTCGTGCCTGTGCTTGGTTGGTGGTTATAGGTGCTATCTGTCTGCCTGTTCTGCAACAACAGCCCCTCAGGTCTTGCCCTGTGCGGCTAAAAGGAGCTCAGACAACGCCGTTTCTTTGCTTCTCCCTAAAGGGAAGCTCCAGACAAACCCCAGCAAGTCCCTGTCTTGCCGGGTTAGGCATTGTTTTCATGCTCTCTTGGTGCTGTAATGGCTGTAAAAAGGAAATAGTTCAGTGTTTATAGCAGCAGTGATGCAATGCTTGTTCTTTTCAGCTTTGGGATTCCACTCCCATAGCCTTCTCCCAGGCCTGGGAGATGGGAGATACTGGGTGGAAAAAGCAGACACCTGCTTTCTGCATGGGAAGACTGTTCCCATGGGCCTTGTTTTGAGGCTCTTAGGAGTGAGTGGCTGCTGGGAGGAGAGGTAAAGCAGGGCTGGCGTGGACCAGGAGCCTCCAGCTTTCCTGTCTGCCTTCACTCCTCATTCCCATAGAACCCCAGCCTGCACGTGGGCTCTCTGATGTCACAGCCTTCCTCAGGCTGCCCTTGTCAACAACTGTCCCTCACAGCCAATAATGACCAAAAGAAAACGTGGATTTTCTTTGGTCTTTGTGTTCCGTGTGCATTAATCACCTGGGAGCTGTCTGGGCTTTGCTTAATTTTCTGAATACCTGGTAGGGAGCAAAGGCACTCGCACAGGAGCGGAAAATTCTCAGGGCCATGCCGGCACATGGCTTCTTAAAATAGTGAACGCCTTCAGCGGGAGGAATGCGCTGACCCGTTTAGGTGGCATTGCTGAGCTGTGTGTGAGAGCGCCTGGCGATGCTGGGACTCAGACTCAGCACCACCAGAAAAACACAGGGATGCTGCTGGGCGTGCGCTTCTAATTTTAGCTGAGAGCCTTCCTAAGGCTGGCTGGAGACAGCAACATCCCTGACCTCTTCTGAAAATACTGAAATGCCAAACAATCGATTTATACCGCTAAGAAAGTATTAACACAGCTTTACAGAAATTAGCCATCTTTAATAATTGGCTTCAACCTCCCCGCAGCACGCTGCTGTGCCTGGAGCAGCGGAGGTCCAGCCCTGTGGGTGACCCACACAGCACAGCCTCCTGCCCTCCATCTCTGCTGGTGCCGGCCCTCGGGGCTGGAAGCGCTCGGCTGCATTATGAGCGAGTTATGAAGCCACCGATTGCCCAACCGAGTTTTTAATTATTATTTTCATTTTAAGCGCTCCATTTGCCCTTTTCACACTCAGTACCCTTGCCACGTGCAGTTTAGTCGTAGTTCCTTGGGCCATCCCAGGGCACCTGTTCCTCCCTGCCCACCATTGCCCCTTAATCTCTCCTGTTTCTGAGCTGAGCGGGGCAGGGCCGGCCCAGTCCCAGCGGTCAGAAGGGCACGCCAGGCAGGAGGGTCTATTTTAAGCAAAACATTTGCTTCAGGCCATGTGTTTTTTGGAGCCACATTGTTCCTTAGGCCATATGCTTTTAAGATCTGATGTCGCTTTTGTAATAGGAACTTCAGCTTGTTACTATTTCTACTTTGGTTACGGTGGTGCACCTGGACGGGGACGTGGGGAGGGTGGCAGCCTCCACCCGATTCTGTTTTGCTGCTCATGCGGCCACAGCGTCCCGGCGGCAGGCAGCACTGCTGGATGGGAGCAGTGGGGAGCCTTCGAGGAAGAGCGACCGGCCGCATCGCTCCTGGCGTCGCACAGGGCCTCGCTCGGTGCCCGATAACGAGCTTAACTTAGCCCCGCACGTCCCTGGCCTCGCCTCACCGCCGGGCGCCGCGGCTTCGCGAGAGTTCTTTCGCCGAAGGGCGGAGCAGAAATAGCGCACATCCCGCGAACAGCCGGGCCGCGGGGCGAGGAGCCGGGCGGCTCAGCGGCGCTGCGGGGCACAGCGCGCCTCCGTGCGGGGAGCGGCCGCTCCGAGGGCCGCGCAGCGAGCGCCGCGCCGGACTACAGCTCCCAGCGCCGCCGTCACGTGCCGCGGGTCACGTGCCCGCCCGGCCCCTTTGTTTTGAGCGGCGCTCGCGGCGTCCGGCAGCACCCGAGAGCTCCGCGCCGAGCCGGGCAGCGGACGGTGGCGGCGCGCGGAGATCCCGGCCCGGCCCCTGCGCGGCTGCGGGTGGCACCGAAACCCGGAGGGTGAGAACAGTGCAGAGCGGCGGGAGGGCGAACGGCGGGCGGGACCGCGGGGCGGCGGGGAAGCGCGCGGTGGAGCTCCGCCGCCGGGTCCCGCTGGGAGCTTCGTGCCTCCGCTACGCCTGCGGACGGCGGGGCCGGCCGGCCTTTCGCAGCGGTCCGGGGTCGACCGCCGTTTCGTAACCCCGCGTCTCCCCGCTCCCCTCCGCTCCCCCGGGCGGCGGCGCGTTGGAGCCCGGCGGCGCAGATTGGGCTGCGGGCGGGGGGGCGGAGCCGTGCGGCGCGGGGTGAAGGTGAGCTGGAGGGCGCGCGTGCGCGCGGCGGTCTCGGGACGGCGTGGCGGTGGCGCGCTTGCGCATAGGGTCGCGCGAGGGTCCGGGGCGCGGCTGAGGGGCGCACGGCTGGGCCCTGCGGCGCTCCGGGCTCCGCAGTTACGGCCCCGCGCGGGGACAAAGGGCGGCGGCTCGGCCGTGTAAACAGGAAGGTGGCGGCGTGCGCCGAGAGCGGCCCGCGCTTCCGGGCCCGTTCGTGCTCGCGCTCCCCGCGCGCTCCCCGGCTGCGGGCGCCGTGTGCCCGCACTGGCGCCGCTACGCACGGTCCGTGCGCGGCCGGCCGCGCTGACCGGGCTGACCTCCCCCGCGCAGGGCGCGCCCGAACGCCGCGCACGTGCTGAAGGGTTTTGTTTGTTTTTATTTCTGCCTCTCGGTTTGGGGTATTTCGGGCCTCAATTAATCGTGAGTCTCACGTCCAAATCAGTTCCTGTTTTTGCCGGGCGATTTTTGAGGGCTCTCCGGCTCGCCATGTGTCACAGCCTTGTTTATTGCCGAATCTTGGCGTTGCTGACGTTTGTAACAAAACACTTCTTCAGTACCGCTAACCGTACCTCATCAGTCAGCTTTGGATTCTTATAGCTGAGGTATTGCTGTTTATCGGGAGGCTTCCATCGTTCTGACACTCCTATTAAGCCAACGGCAAACGCTCCCTTAAAACAAAAAGCTTTATTTTGCTGTGTGGTGAAGAAGGAAGAAAAGACGCTGTGTTTGGTATTGGTGGAAGGAAAGCTTGTGCCTCTTCCTCCACCCTGCGCTGTGGGCTAGGCGGCCTGCCATCCCTGGGGCTGTGCCGGCTCTGCCTGTGCAGGCGGCTGTGTCCCAGCCGTGCCGAGGGACCGGCATGGAGGTGATGGGCGTGGGGTGGGAGCTGCCTCCTGTGCAGCAGCACTCGGCCTCAGCGGCTCCCAGGACTGCACCCTGTGGGAGCATGGTGGTGCCGCTGCTGGGAGCCTCGCTGCTAGCTGGCTGCACGGAGCTGCTGCTGCTCTCCGTCCCTTCTGCGCATGGAGCCGCTTAGTTCTGTGAGAAAAGGAAACACTGCCAGCAAGCTGGTAGTTGACAGAGCTGGGGGTGAAAAGGGGCATAATGGTTCAAGGGTGCTGATGCACTGGAACAGGTTGCCCAAGGAAGTTGTGGGTGCCCCATCTCTGGAGGCATTCAAGGCCAGGCTCTGGGCAGCCTGGTCTGCTGGTTGGTGACCCTGCACGTAGTTGGAACTACGTGGTCACTGTGGTCCTTTTCAACCCAGGCTATTCTGTGATAATGCAGCAGGGGAAGGAGGAGTTGAGTGCAGTGTGAAGCTGTTTGTACAGGAACCTCACTGATACAAGGTGTCATGGCAGAGGTTCTACGGACCTGGTGGTTTTTGGATTAGGGCTTCAGCTAGGGGATGTTTTTGAGGAACCTCTGGTGCAGCAGAGCCTCCAGGCAGTGAGGAGGCAGAGGAATTGCCTGTTGGTGAGCCAGCTGAACTTGGAGGTGTGTGTGGCAGCATCCGTGTCGGAGGCAGTGTGTTTGAATACATAGTCTCTGTGGCTTGTTTAAGCTCCTTCTTTGCTGCCATTTACTCAGGCAAGCAGTCTGGTGCATTTTGTCCATTTAAGACATACAGAGCAAGGAATGCAAGAAAAGCATACGTGTGTCTGATGGAGCTCCAATATGACAGTGTTGCGGAGTCATAGAATGGCTTAGGTTGGAAGGGACATTAAAGATCACGTGGTTTAAACCCCCCTGCCATGGGCATGAACACTTCCCACCAGCTCAGGCTGCCTAGGGCATCCTCTGACCGGCATCTAACATCTAACCTAAATTTCCCTTCTTTTTTTTTTTTTTTTTTTTTTCAAAGCCATTTGTCCTTGTCCTGTCACTATTGGGCTGTGTAAGAAGTCAGTCCTCTTTCTGCTCATAAGCTCCCTACAAGTACTGGTGGTGGTCTTACGTAAATATGTGCTTCAGCAAATGTACAGAAGTGACTGGACTGGAATTAAATCTTATAATGAAAGCAGTAATTTCTTCATTGGAGTTTATTTTTTTTTTCTTCATTGTGTCTTGTTTGTGACATTGCAGTATTTAGCCCCTGGAGTAGGTTTTGCTCTGTGGATTTTTTTTTTTTTAGTCTTCCATTTCTTTAAACCGTTGGGACACTAAAAAAAAAAATACACAAATTGTTTGGTGACCAATAATTTGGTGCTATTCCTAGTTTCAAGTATAAGGAAGGCAGTGCTTCCTCCAGTGAGCTGTCTTAGCCCAAAGGCCTTATTTTCATTTGTTGGTGATTGCATCATGCAGTATCTTTGTAAGCCTTTAACTCCTCACAGAAGAAAAAGCCCAGCTCTTGTTTAACAGTCATAGTTTCCTTCCCCCTCTCGAAGTCTGCTGGTGTCCCAGTTCTAACTAAAGACCTGCTTTGTTTTGGAGACTCTCCATTAACTTGAACGAAACAGCAATCTAAAGCCGTGCCACCAGAATCAATCTTTTAGGGTTTATATTTAGATTTTCTTTGTTACGTTTCCCTTTTCTACTGCAATCGCTTCACTTCTGCCCAGGTTCCCGTGCTGAGTAGTATGGAATTGACTGCAGACAAAGCTGGGTGCTGGCAGCACAGCCGTGGAGGTGGTGATGGCTGTTGTTGTTCTTGGTTTTTATGTGGGCTGCGTCATTCCGGGCAGAATGGTTGGGAAATAAATTCCTCGGACAGAATATCTGTTACAGATCAGGCTGCCTTAATGATGCCTCGTTAGCTGGTTGCCTCAGAGAGATTTTGCTAGATGTGCCCATTGCAGCAGTGTTTTTCAGACAGTGCAGTGACAACTGAGCCCATTTTAATTTGGATTGAATGAACTGTTCTGTAGGATAAAGGAGTACACCGACAATCTGCCCTGTAAATGTGTGTGAAGGAGTTCATATGGAAGGTTTAGACGTATCTCACACCTCCCTGGTCCTTGCAGAGGTGGTGCCTTTTAAAGGTGCTGTGTTTATTTAAGGTAGGAAAGAATGGCTGGTTGTGCTCTGTAGTAAGCAGCGGTGCGGGCAGATTTGGATGGGGTAATTGCAGCTCTGAACATGCAAGCGTGTCAGGAAATCTAAGCTGTGTTAGGAACTGATGTTTACTGACTCTACATTGGGAACAAGGGAAACCAAAGCACCTCCTCAAGTATTTGCAGGGAAAAAAAAAATCTGTGAGCTTTAAAATAATTCAGGGCACGTTCTCCTAGACATGCACATGGGAAGTACCTGCATGTGGGATGGTGTCCGTGTGAGAGCCTTGGGCTGCTCTGCCCAGCTCTCTGCTGGTGTGGAGTTCTGCTGGACAGCCATCCAGTTCAGTTCCAAGTCCAGGAGTGCTGGTGAGCCGTATTGCTGCCAGACCCACTGACCACATCGCCTCTAATATCCAGGATCTGCACGCTCTGTTGTGTTTGCTTCATCTAAAAATTTTAGTTTTGGTGTTTACTAGCATTTGATTATTTTTGCTACTCCAGCACTTTAATAATCTGTACTGGGAGGGTTGTTGTGCACTGTGTATTTAAAACCAAAAAGAAGGCAGTGTTTTTGCTAGTAATTGTAGTTCTTTGGAGAACAGAAAATTTCTTTCCTCAGTAAAATTCCCTTGATTTTTAGGTTCAGTAGCTTTTACACAAATGTCATTCTCTATTCTGTTTTGCAGTTCTGTTTTAACAGCCTACATTCATTATTAATTCCAGCTTAGGTTATTAGTGAACTAGTTTCTAGATATGGGGAGTGGAAAAGTGAAAACAGTGGTCAAAGCTGTTCATTGAGATAACTGATGGCTGTTAACCACTGGCAGTGTAAGTGTTACGGTATTTGTGATAACAGGTGAAGGAGTAATTTATCTCAACTCAATTTACATATTGCAAGTTTCTTTTTTTTTTTTTCTCCCCCAACCTTTTGATTAGTTTGATTACAGCGTTATACAAAGGCTCCAAAAGCCAGAAGAGCCCAAGCTCTGGAGCTTTGTGCAGGAGAGCCCTTGGTTTGTGTCAGTAAAGCAATCTGCTGAAGCTGAGCTCCCATTTCACTTACGTTGAGTTCTAATCCTATGCTAGCGATGCTGGAGTGTTCAGAATTTGTCAGGCCTGACCCCTGTTCTATGTATAGTGTACACATAGCACACGGAGAACGCTTTGTGTTTAACGTGGACAGGTGGCGCTGCCTTGCGCTGCGCAAGGTCACTTGCTGTGAGCTGCGGGGTCAGCCCTGGTAAAGGTGGAAAGCTGCACTGACTGTGTGTCCCCATGGGCATCTTGGCTGTTTGCGGTGATGAAGCGAAGCAGGTATCAGACTGACTGCTGAAGTGTTTTTCATTTTTCAGACCGTAGCATCTGCGGAGAAGAAACTCGGCCAACTTTTCTCAATGACTCTATAGCCAACTGATGTAACAATGGTACTAATATTGGGACGCAGACTGAATAGAGAGGATAGTGGGATACGAGATTCCCCTGCAACCAAGCGGAAAGTTTTTGAAATGGACCCAAAGTCGTTGTCAGGCCCTGAGTTTTTTGACTTCTCCTCGGGATCGTCGCACGCTGAAAGCATTCTGCAGATCTTCAATGAGTTCCGAGACAGCCGGCTGTTCACGGATGTCATCATCTGTGTGGAGGGCCGGGAGTTTCCCTGCCACCGCGCGGTGCTCTCAGCCTGCAGCAGCTACTTCAGAGCCATGTTTTGCAACGACCACCGGGAAAGCAGGGAGATGCTGGTGGAGATCAACGGCATTCTAGCTGAAGCTATGGACTGCTTCTTGCAGTATGTGTACACTGGCAAGGTGAAAATCACTACGGAGAACGTGCAGTATCTCTTTGAAACATCGAGCCTCTTTCAGATCAGCGTTCTGCGCGATGCCTGTGCCAAGTTCCTGGAAGAACAGCTGGACCCTTGCAATTGCCTGGGCATCCAGCGCTTCGCAGACACGCACTCGCTCAAGACGCTGTTCACCAAGTGCCGGAATTTTGCACTGCAGACGTTTGAGGATGTGTCCCAGCACGAAGAGTTCCTCGAGCTGGGCAAAGATGAGCTTATAGATTACATCTGCAGCGATGAACTGGTGATCACCAAGGAAGAGATGGTGTTCGAGGCCGTCATGCGCTGGGTGTACCGGGCGGTCGAGCTGCGAAGGCCGGTGTTACACGAGCTGCTGACGCACGTCAGGCTCCCGCTGTTACACCCCAACTACTTCGTTCAGACCGTGGAAGTGGACCAGCTGATACAGAATTCCCCAGAGTGCTACCAGCTGCTGCACGAGGCCAGGAGGTACCATATCCTTGGCAATGAGATGATGTCTCCCAGGACTCGGCCACGCAGGTGAGAGAGTAGTTTATTTTATATGATTTGATACACTCTCCTAGAAAAGATTTATTTGATTTTGATCTTGGTCTGCATTCTGGAGCACTGCATTTATACCTGTGTGCTTCCCCACGTGTGCCTAGAAAATAGAAACAAGGCAATATTTTACAGATAAATGAAGGTATTCTATGTTGCAAGTGAAATATTTTTGTCTTATTTCATGCAGTGGCAGCATCTTGAAATCAACTTGCTATGCTGCAGCAAGTAAGCAATTCCATTTTCTGACATTTTTTCCTTTTTTTTTTTTTTACAGTAGTCACATAAGTGTGCATTGTGGTGCAGACAATATGGATGGGGATACATATGCAGAAGATTTACTTGTTACACTGTAAAATGCTTTAAAAAATTGCAGTAGACAACAGAACAACAGATTGTTAACTATAAAGACATGATATCTTTCCTTTTTAAAAAATTATGAAACAGTTCCTGAAATATTTCATGCTTACTCCATGACATTTTAATAATCCAGAATTACTGCTGCTTAATGGTGTGTTACAGAAATACAAACGGTGACTGAATTTGCGAGGGGAACGCAATTAACGGCTGCTGGTGTTATGACCTTTCCCCCAGCCCAAGCATTTTCCCAGTAAAAGCCTTACCTCTACACGTAGTTGGCACGATGGTTTGTCATTACCTCCAGCTGATTTAAACTGCAGTCTTAAATCAGGTGCTGTGAGAAGGTGATGCTCTCTATGAGCCCCTTGCAGCCCCGCTGTTGGCTTTTTAAAGCTGTGCAGCGCCATGGAGGGCCTGGAGCTCTTGGTTCACTGAAGATCAGGAGCTGGGAATGCTGGTTTGTGAGGAGTTCCCTGAGTCGGTCTGAGGGAGCTGTGGCAGTGTCTGTAGCATTCCAGTTTGTAAATGCCATACCTTGCCTAATGCAGGTGATTTCAGGCTGCCTCGTGTTTCTTCCTGCTAGGCCTAATAAGCAGCAGCATGAATCTGAGTAGGCAGGAGTGAGAGAAGTCATTAAGAGAGAAAAAGCTGGCTGGCCTCCCAGCAGGAATTATTTCCCCTTTTCTAGATTACATTTGTGGAATAGTTCTTTGTCATTTGTTTCTGCCTGTTTGTTTGCCAATTTGTTTCGGTTGCCTATAGCAAAAAGAGGTGATGTTTTAAAACAGTTACCAGGTCTCCCCTTGCCCTTGTTTTCATCCCAGCTTTTCTGGGCATTTCTTGGAGATTTGAGGAGTGGATGACACTGGAGAAATCTTTTCTTTCTTGGACTTCTTCCAATTCCTTTTTTAATATAAACTCTTTCTAAAAGGAAATAGGCAGTAGCATCAGAATCTCCCAAGCAAGCATTTTGCCTGAAACTTATGGAAACAGCATACGATTCCTTGTATGGACATGTATGCAGTTACAGTGTGGTCTGCTCATTTTTTTTTAAAAAAAAAAAAACAAAAAACAGCGTAGATTTTTTTTTCCACAGTTTCTTTTTTTTCTTTTAATCTTTTTTTTTTTTTTTTTGGAGGTCAGTGAGGAGGTACCTGAGGCACACAGTGCAAAACATGGGGTGAGCAGCTCGCTTCAGTGCTGTGTGCCTCTAGATGCTGCTGACAGACACGGGAGGTCTCGCTGGGGGTCCTGTGCAGTTGTGCACCTGCAGTGACATAGTGACACGTTAAGGCTGGATTTCTCTTGTCCCCTGCTGGCTGTGTGCACAGCAGGTCTGTGAGCACTGCTCAAGCAGTGAGCAATAGCAAATTTCCAAGTGCAAAACAAAACTAAAAACAAAAAAAGCTACCGACTGGACTCTTGCTGTTCTGTGGTTCAAATTATCTTTAGATTTTCGTGTTCCCATGAATTCCTTTATCGCTCAGTTCCTCTGAAGCTGTCTGATTCCTGAACGTTCTCTTTAACTGGTAAGAAGTTGCTCCAGTTACAAACCTTTTGACGCATCTTTTTTGGCTACTTACAGAAATGTGTTCAAAGAAGGTGGGTGGCTCAAAAGAGGTGACTTTTGATTTCACTTGACATTTCTGTCTTCCCATTCACTACACAAGTCAGTACCCAGGAGGAGCTATACTTGCAGGAGACATGCAGTCTCCCACACACCTAAGGTGGTTTTGAATGGAATCTCTTTGAATTACTGGAGGTTCTTTAGTGCAGCTGACAGTGGTGGTGCTTGGCACTGTCCCCGAGGCCAAAGGGCTGCGTGCAGCTCGGGACCCCTTGGAAAGCGGCTTTAGGAGTGCTCTGGATAATGTGATGCTGTCAGCTGTTTCCATTCCCCTTTGTCCATTCTCTCACCTCCTCACAACTGGAGGGTCTCCCCTGGGACTTCCAGCTCACCTCTGTTCTTCTGTTCATGCTGTTTCCTTTGAGGGCTGTCAGGAGGACCCCCTGTACCCCTGCTTCACATTCTATCTGGGAGCTGCAGCAGCTTCTAACTTCCATTCACAGATATTGTTAGTTCATTTAGAACTAACTTTAAAACCTCTACAGTGCAAGACTTGTTCAAGGAAAATGGCACAGAGTAAATATTTCTTAATTGAAGAAAGCGTATGGCTACGTAGGTGCTAAAGCTACGTAGGATATTTCTTTTTCTTTGGATTTAAAATGTTGTACTAAACTAATATCCCCTTTGAGGAGCACAGCTCTCATAACTAGCCCTCTTCAATCCAAGATTTTTTGTTCAGCTGATTTGAAAGTAAATGTTGACACTTCAGTACAGTAAGCTTTCCAGTAAATAGAGGGCTTGGTTCTAATCTAAAAAGTAATCTGCAGACAAACACGTTTTCAGCGTGCAGTTAGTAGATACCTAGGCTTGCCTCTGGGCAGGTTGTGAGATTAATAACTTGCTCTTAAGAAAACTTTCATTTCCGTGGGTACTGCCTTAGAGGTACAGAAGGTTTTCCTCTCCTACCTTTCGAGAGATTCCTTTCAGAGCTGTTTCTCTTTAAAATGAATACTTCAAATAAATACACAGAAACCAAGAATCAACATCGCTTCAAAGCTGAGCAGCAGAAAAGTGTTCTCCTGTCTAGTTCAGGTGTGTAAAGTGCCTCCACAGATGCAATTCTTCACTGTGTAATCTTTCTTACGGTGCCTTTTCAGTGCCTTTGCCTTTGTGTAAGATAGAAGGGTGTATTTTATGTATGGTGACAAGGAGGTAGATGAGCTAAATGGTTTTATTTGTGATGCTTCAAAGCAGGGAAATTGTCATCAGGATTTATAAGCTAATATACGTATGCATGACTTCAAATATTAGGAAATCTGGGTGCAGCCCATACAAGTTTTAGCTCAAATGCAGTCATAAAGCAGGGTGGCTTTTTCTGTTTTCAGACAGAGGGATACTCAGCAGTGTTATGAATGGGATCTCTCTACTCATGAGGATCAAAGTTAAAGCACAAAGCAACAATGAGGCTTACTAAAAGTAAATCTTACGTTATTTTACTTGATTATTACACAGCAGACCTTGAAATAACTGTACTGGTGCAAAATTCTTTTTAAAACCCTGAAGAGAAAGGATTTTGAGGAACGTTCCTAATTATACACTGGAGAGAAGGGATGGAATTCATTCCTAACTCGATTTGCTTGTAGAAGATGGTTGATTCTCTGCATTCAAACGTGGATTAAAATGCAGTGGATTTTTCTACTACTGTGAACACAGAGTACATATAATGCAGAAGCATCAGGTCAGAAGGAGAATGAGGGTGGAACAGAATGGAAGCTTTGCAGACTATCTCATGCTTACTTTCAGAGTTCTTGATTTCTTTTTTGTCTTGAATTTTCTGACCTTTTTTTTCCAAACAGGTTTTGAAGGCGTTGTTATTTGGCCTCCATGTACAGATAAGTACCTCTTACATCTGAGTTCTGTTTTCCCTTTTTTAGGTCAACTGGTTATTCTGAGGTGATAGTTGTTGTTGGAGGCTGTGAAAGAGTTGGAGGGTTTAACTTGCCGTACACCGAGTGCTACGATCCTGTAACAGGAGAATGGAAATCACTGGCCAAACTTCCAGAGTTTACCAAATCTGAGTATGCAGTGTGCGCCCTGCGGAATGATATCCTTGTTTCAGGTGAATAATCCTTGCAATTCCTTCCAATTTGAGCGTCTGAGTTGGTGATCCACTTTTGGTGCATGGATCAAAGAGGGGGAAGCGGCTCATGTTAGCAATGTTCCCCAAGGCACAGCAGCAGCTAAGATTCCTGTTTTGAGTGTCTTGTCCAGGTAGTTACACTCGAGGAAGTCTGAAAAGCATGGGCAAAAGCCATTAAGGTGCATTCTGATCTGACGTGATAATCTGATGTGATAGCAGCATCTTGCTGAGAGAGGTTTACAGAAGTAGAACAACTTATCTATGTTTTCATGTTTTGAAATCCTCTGACACTGACTTCAAGCAAGCATGAAGAGTATAATTCCACTGCCCCCTGTAGAGGGGCATGACGATAGCTGACATTTCTCATTCTGGCATTAATTTATTCAGACTGGCGTATCTTTGTTTTTAAAGGTGGAAGAATCAATAGTCGGGATGTCTGGATTTATAACTCTCAGCTTAACATTTGGATCAGAGTTGCCTCCTTAAATAAAGGCAGATGGCGTCATAAAATGGCTGTTCTTCTTGGTAAAGTAAGAGAAGTACATTTATAATTCCTTCAGCTGGGGTGTTTCATATGTGTAAGAAAGTAGTGGAGAAGATGTACGTGCACGTTTAGTATTACCTTGTTGCATGTCCCATTAAATTGTATTTCATACGTTCAAATAAGGTAGTAATTAAAAGAATTGTGCTCTTGATTGGTCATTCACTGTCCATGGAACTGAAAATCCTCAAAGTGTTTTTTGTGAGCTGTCATCAGAATGTCTTAGCTCCAAGTTTTGGGGATTTTTTTGCAGGCAAAGATATATCGGAATTCACCCACTTTAAAAAGTGCTCTGGAAATCAAAATGATTTATGCTGTTTTTAAGGAAAAGCAGTACTGCTTTGTCTTCTCTCCGTTCTTTTATTTAGTGTTTTGTAGTGAAATTAACCTGCTGTGTTACTGTAAGGAAATGAAGATTTATTTGTGCCTTAAAGTGAAACTAGTAGTTGGGATCAGCTGACTCCGTTAATGGAAGTTTTAGGGAAGGGCTGTGTGGGGTCTGTTGCAGTAAGTTTTAGAGATGCAGCAAGCAGAGGAAGGGGGGTGGGCACAATTAATGCTGAGATCTGCTGCTTAAGTATGAGAGATGCCACAGGAAACGGAGAGGAAGGACTTTTGTAAACAAGTAGAAAAAAGTAAAACAGAAGAGCAGAGGTGTGTTCAGGTGCACTTCTGCAGTAGCTTCTGCTGAACGTGGCCTTTCACGTGCGAAATGCTGAGAAGTGCCTGCTTTTGTAAGTGCCATTCAAATAGTGGAGTTCTGTTTCTGTTTTACTATAGTGTCTGTTTGCATGGTCTTTCTATGCGTGACTAAATGGAAACTGCTGGAACTATTATTTTAGGCCACATTCTTCTTCCGTGTAATATACGTATATTTTTTTTATGGAAGCATCCCTTCAAGCGAAAACCTAAAAATAAAAAATAAAAAAAAAAAATCAGCATTTCTGCAGCATTTCTTTCATAATTGAGTTCAATAATGACTCTAAAAAGGAAACGATGGCCGTTTTCACCATTTTGCCTAGGTCTACGTCGTTGGAGGGTACGATGGGCAGAACCGCCTCAGCAGCGTGGAGTGCTACGATTCGTTTTCCAATCGATGGACAGAGGTGGCTCCCCTCAAGGAAGCTGTGAGCTCTCCTGCAGTCACCAGCTGTGTCGGCAAACTGTTTGTGATCGGCGGCGGTCCTGACGACAACACGTGTTCTGACAAGGTCGCTTAACTGCTCGCGTCTCTTCTATCCACAGTAAAGAGAAATGCTGGTTTGAAAATGATCTGTTTTAATTGGCCTTGGGTGGAGCATGGAATTGGAAAGCTACGAAAATACGTAGCAGGAAACAGGAGCTTATTAGCATGCTGTTACTTTGGTTTCTGTCGCGGACACGAAATGTGCTGTGCGAGGCTTAAACCAAACTGTCTGGACAAAGGTGTTGAATACAGACTGTGCAAAAAACACCTACATTTATACGGACTTCATATTCTTGGTGAGGCACTGCCCACCAGGCATTGCTTCCTTCTTGTCCGCCTTACAAACTGTGGGTGTGCCACGCTCTCATCTCGGGCAGGCTTTTAATCTCAAATGCATGTGTTTGTTTTCAGGTTCAGTCTTATGATCCTGACACGAATTCTTGGCTGCTCCGTGCAACTATCCCTATTGCAAAAAGATGCATTACGGCTGTGTCTTTAAACAATCTGATCTATGTTGCTGGTGGGCTCACCAAGGCAATATACTGCTATGATCCAGTTGAGGACTACTGGATGCACGTACAGAACACGTTCAGCAGACAGGTAAAGACGACGAGGCCTGTAAATGTCTGACAGGTGTTGATTTACATGAATATCTTGGGAGGAAATTAATAGAAGCTGATTTAAATCTCTTAAAATTGCGTCTCTTGATTCCATTCTTGCTTTACTTCTTCATCTGTATAGTAGATGAGAAGAGACTAAACTAACAGGTTTTAAGCTGAGAGCCACTGTTAGGCAGCCCAGTCTTTGAGAGAAGTTACTGTTGAACAAGAGGGTAACAGTAGACTGGATAACATTTCAAGTGTCCAGAAATAGATCTCTGTCAAGCCCTGTTATATGTTTTATATATAAATTGAAGACAGTAATTTTCTTATAATTGACTCTAGACATCCATCAATTTTTTTTGTTGCACATCCTCATCTGAGAGTTGTACTTTTTCCAGTCTTTCCCTATTTTCTTACTACTTTCTGTTCTGGTCCCTATTTTACTTTCTTTGTTGCAAGTAAGACATAGTGTTGTCATTTCTCTGTTTTCTTAGTCATGACCTGTTTTTTTTCCTTCTCCCTTGTTTACTCCTCCAAAGTGCTTCTACTTGTTCCTTTTTTTTTTTTTCCTGCCTGCTGCAGTCCTTCTGAAATCCTCTGCTTCCTCTTGCCTTACCTTACCTCAGATATGTAAATGGTCATCTCTGAGCACAATATTCAGCTGTGCTCCACTGTATCCTTTGTGCAAGCTATGCAAAGTAAAGGCTTGGACCTGAAAAAGCCCTCTCAGTAGGAGTGTTCACTGCTTTCTGCACGCCCTGGGCTTTCTGCATTGGCCCTTTGAGAAGGGAATGGTATAGAACAGCCTGTTTACAAACAATAGTCACAGTGCTGCCCTTTCACTGGGGTGGACGTGCGTGAATTGAAATTTCTTTTTTTCAAATAATCACATATTCCTTTGTGTATTTTGGAACAGGAGAATTGTGGCATGTCTGTGTGTAATGGAAAAATCTATATCCTTGGTGGAAGACGGGAAAACGGTGAAGCCACAGACACTATTCTTTGCTATGATCCTGCAACGGGCATTATCACAGGAGTAGCAGCCATGCCCAGGCCAGTATCGTATCACGGCTGTGTGACCATTCATAGGTATAATGAAAAGGGCTTTAAACTGTAATTTTTTCTTCTTGGGGAAGAAGAAAAGGAGAAGATGATGGCATGAACGAATCCAGTAGTCTGCTGCAAGACTGATTGATAAATCCAAAAGTGGGAAAATGCCCTTTCCCTACCTAAGTGTCATAAAAAATTGTATCCTGTGCCTTTTTGGGGAGAGAGGAAAAAAAAAAAAAAAAGCAAGGAGGGTTAATTTAAGTTAAACTGGTCTCTTGTCTACAGATCTATCTAGTAATCAGACTGTGCTGTGCTAGTGATCAGATGGTTGTCCTATGTGTGTTTAGTAATTAAATCTTGGAAGCTTTGTAGGGAAAGTGCCTTCACAAGCACTTGTGCCTGTGTCCTAAGTAGGGATACCTACAAGGTGTTTCAGATTCTGCTAATTGGAAAAGTACATAGGCAAGTAAATCTCAAAGAATTATCCAGGATAATTACTTTCAGTCAAGAAAAGCAAACAAACAAAAAAAACCAGCTCGTATGATTACAATTCATATGCAATGCATTCTCACAAGCAGATTACATGGCTTAACCAAATAGATTTTATTTCAGATCATGCATGGTTTGAGAGTTAAAGGAAAAGTGAAAACATAAAAAAAAAAAAAAAAAAGAGACTGTTTAAGCTCCATAGGACAAGTATCAGATAAATGTTTTTCTCTGAAGAAGAACAGCAGCATCTTGGTTGTTTAGTGAGCCACTGCAACATGCTGCAGCAAGGACTGTGTACCTTAATGCCATGGACCTCATTCGTAGTGTTGTTAAATGCCTACCAGAAGTGCACGGCTACATAACATGGAAAACTTGTGACTAGTGGGGTGTAGGTTTTCTGTGTGAAACAAACGTGGAATCCTGGTTTTTAAATTCCCAAGTAGTATAGATGAAGCCTGAAAGTTGCTGGGTTCGCTCCCTGTTCGCTGCGAAGCGCCTCTAAGCTACTGAAGGGATAAAGAAGAACGAACTCCGGGTTCTGCTGCTGTTCGTAACGGCGCCATGAATGACCTAGCAGCAGGTGGGCACTCAGTCTGTATCCTACAGCAAACAGATGGCTCTTCGAGATCTGTCGTCTGAAGAGATGATTCAGTTACCCGCCAAGTATTGGTCTTCAGACAATCGCTTCAGCGCAGCTCAACCAGTGCAAAAGCTGCTTGGCCACAGATGAGGAGTTCTGCAGGTCCTTCATGTCACTAGAAAAATGGCCGTGCAGCTGTCCGTGTAGCCATGAGAGGGTAACTCCCGCATCACATGTCCTGGCTCGTTCTGTAGCCAGCAAAGCACGTGTATTTCAACCCAGACTTCCTTAGCAAAGGTATTTCTTTTAAGTCCTCTTTATATTTCTGCACTTGGTCTCTTTATTCCCATCGTGCAGCTGTACAGCTGAGGCACAAGTTCGCGAAAACTGAAATAGCACTTGAGAGCTGGAAAATGAGCAGGATTTTCTATCTTCTGATTTCCTATTAGTCACCAGAAAACTCGGGAACTCCCTTTCAAAGAAACTCTGACAGCAGCCAGCAGGGAGGTTGGTCAGTGCCAGGGCAGAGAAAAAGCATACGGTTTGTGCAAGGTGAGCTGGCTTCAGCATTCTGGTGTCCATGCTTACTCAGGAGGGTAAAACAAGCACCATCTCTGGAACGCCGCTTGCTCTGCTGGACTTTCTTCACCATCTTTGTTTCTTTATGAGATGGAAATTCTGACCCTCAGTGAAGCTGTGCCAAACTGGGAGTCATCGTTTTCAGTGCCATGCGGTCGTGACTTTTAAAGAGCACTGGGAGCTGCACTTTGTGATGCATTAACTTGCAACCTCAGGAAAGGACACATTTCAGTTTGTGGCTGAATACCAAACACTGCTTTGTATATGTAAAGAATATTGATAAAATACGAAATTCTGCACATCAATGATGTAATTAGGAAATGAGCCCCGTGTACATTCACATTGCCCTAAATAGGAAGCCATTTGGGAACCTAACACAGAACTTGGATATAAATGGAATTCTTTTCTAAGTTTCCTGTGTGTCTGCTCGCCGAGTGTTGTTCAAAAACGTTATTTTAGTACCTGTGAATAAGGTCCACTGATAGCAATGGTAATTGCCCAGTAACTGATACGATATACTAACACTGTATATAACTCGTGCCATCATTGTAAATGACAATGTAAAAAATGATAGGAGCACTTCATTAGAGTTGCAGTTTGAAAAATATTCTTCCTTCCTCTGACTTCCTTCATGTTTATATTAAGATTTGTGATGTTGATTGTCATGCTAAACTGTTTTTAAGCGTTCCTGATTCAGTGTCATTTATGTATAGGCATCCTTTAGTCTGTTTACAATACTGCACTACCCTGTAAATAGTGAAATACTGCTTTTTATGGTTTTGAAAATTCAGTTTAGAGTTGCATTGTATTTTATTAACAAATTATATACCGTTACCTATTATTTTTGAAATTGCAAGTGTTGAATGAACTTGTAAATGCAGAAATGTAGATGTAGAAAAAAACTTCTAGTTGCAGTTCTTGGGAACCTGTATGCAGAGCCAGGTAGGTGTGGAGCATTGCTAGAATGGTAGTTATTCATATAGTTATTTCCTTAGAACAAGCAGACACTTTCTTCTTGCTTTTTGAGTCTGATTTGCACTTAAGAACTGCTCTCATAGAACTGTATTTGTAGATGTGGTAGAAGAGAACGATTGAACCATGTTTGCAGAAGGATACGTTATTTAGGAGGCTGCCTTCCAGAGGCACCTGTTCTCTGATGTGCTTCACCTGGGTGTAGATGGAGTCCAAGCTTAAACCTGTCTGCACTCTGGCTGACTGCAGTTTGTTGTTGAGCCAGTTGATTTTTTTGTTTGTTTGTTTTTCCTCCATCAGCCAGGGGAGAAAGTTTTGAATGTCTTCCACCATAATCAGAAGATTTGCATCATAAATGGTTGTAGGCTTAGCATCTCCAAAGCAAAGCAGTGCTGTCAGCCCAACTCTGTGCAGGCACAGGGATCACGTCTCCCCAAAGTGCAAATAGGTGCAAATATTAAGAGCTGTCTAATATCTCCCTCTGTTAAACTATTAATTATCCATTATGTATTCCACTCTTAAAAAAGAAATTAAATATTTTCCTTCTGTATTTTGATTTCCACTACGTCCTGCTCCAAAGTTCATGAGATACGTCCTTCCTTTCTTAGCAATGTGATGTAAACTCAGAAGAAAGTGAATGTTTTGTCATCCTGGCTTTGGGCAGGTTCTGTGTGGAAAACGTGGGTGCAGCTGGTGCCTTCCTGTTTGTAGCTGTAGCCCATGTGCCCCGTTCCTCAGCTGCCAAGCATATACAGCGTGGCCTGGTAGTCAGTCAGTTTGGCTGTAGGCTCCCTTGTTGCTTGTGCCTATATAGGCATCATTTGTGGATTCTCTCCTTTTTGTACCATTAGACAGCTCATTTCCCAGTGTGGGCCTGGTACCTTCCGTGAGTTAAGCTCTGTGCATTCTTTATAGCACCATAAGTCCTGAGTTGTACTGATTCATTTTTTTAATTGGCACCAGTGCAGCTCTCACGAAAGACTGCTTATTTCCACTGTGAAGCACAGATATATTTAATGTGAATGATGCTGATATGGACCCCTTTGATAATTGACTCAAGCTTTTTAAACAGGATTTGTAACCCTGCAGTGTCTGAGAGGCCGATGGTACGGGAACAGGAGGTGCTCACTTGGACAGAGAAGTGGGGCAGGACCGTGCTGGCTGCTCCAGCTTCTCAAGTAGTTGAGATATCCTATGGTAGCCCCTACAGTTGCAGTCCCCAGTTTCCTTCTGCAAGCACCTTCCAAGCTCTGCTAGGAGCTCTCCTTCATGGGTAGATGAAGCTGTGCGCTCAGCCCCACAAGAGAGACCAGATTGAAGCTTATGGGCTGAGGGACAGCAGAAGAAAGGGCAGGGCTGTGCCTTACACTGGCCTTGCTGAATGCAGGCTGTTCTGCACGGCTGCGGTCTGCAATTCCTGAAACTCGTTAAAAATGTTTTGTGCTTGTTGACTTCCTTAACCTGGAAGGGTGCATGCTTGAGTGAGGTCTGCTAGGGGCAGCTCTCAGGAAAGGCAAAGGTCTGTTCTGACCTTTTTATGCCAGCAGTGAAGATGGCAGAAGCCACTTTGAAAGCAGTTAGGGCTCAATCACAGTGAGGTGACGTGAATGTCTTTATCTGAATGTGGGCCCGCAGTCAAGAAAGAGCAAATAAAGCCGTCGGTGAACACGTGCTGTGTACGTGCTGCTGGCTGTCCCCACGTGCACGGCCCCAAACAGCAACAGGTCTTTTTTCTGCTCAGGTGTCTGTGCGCGCCCACCTGTGTGTGAGCAGCCTGAGGGTTTGACCGTGACACTGTTACGAGTGATGCGGTACTGTACTGTAATTATGGCTTCCTTCGTACTGAGTTCCAAAGAAAGTGTTAACTTCGAAAATCTCCGTGCCTTGAATTCATGTCTGTTTGTCTGTCATGGGGAAGAGTTCGGATTGCCCCTCCTGGCCTCGGTCGGGGCCAGCTGCTGCTGTTCTTCGGAGAGAGAGAAACGCCGCCGCCGCCGGCAAGAAGCGCAGCACGGCCTGCGTTTGGAGCGCGGACAGAAGATGCTTCCGCAGCACGGCGGCGCTGTGCCGGGCGGAACCGCGGGACGGCGGCGTTTGTTGCTCTGCCGTCCGCTTCAGCGCAGGGCAGCTCGGGTCAGCCCTCAGCGCGCGGGGCTGCCCCGGTTGTGCTGACAGCGGGAAGGCGGTCTGTAACGTAGCACCACTGCAATAACATTTACCGATTGCATTTAAGCGTATTTCTTGCATAAGTGGTTTTTTTTTTTTTTTTTTTAAGTTCGGTGTACCTAATAAACATCTGCCTTTGGAACGACTGCCTGTGCCTCGTTGGGGCTGCGGGGGAAGGGCGCTGAGGGCGGGGCTGGAGGCGCCGTGTCCCCACTCCGCCTGCCGCTCCGTGTCCGCCTGCGCGGGCTCCTCCCCTTGCGACGCGGCGCGCGGTGATGGCGGCCCTGCGGCGGGCGGCGGGACGGGGCGCGGGGCGGCGCTGAGTGCGGGGCGGGGCGGGTGAGAGCGGGAGGAAGGCGCGAAGGAGCGCGGCGGCGGCTTTGTGCGCGCGGCGGGGGGAGGGGAGCGGCGTGCATGTGGGCTCCGCACCGCCCCGCCCCGCACCGCCCGCGGCCTGAGGGGAGCGGCGGCGCCCGGAGCTCCGCGCGAGGCGGAACAAAGGCCGCGCCCCTCCGCGGGGCGGCGCCGCCACCAGCAGCACCATGTCCGGCGTGAGGAGAACCCTCGCTGAGAAGGACCCCGACTACGAGGAGATCGCGGTGGCGCCGCCCAGCAAACGGCACCGCGCCGCCGAGCAGTCAGGTGCGGGGCGGGGAGCGGGGCTGCGGGCACAGGGCTGCGGCACCAGGGCTGCCTCGCGGAGGGCACAGGGCTCCCTCGGCGCGCCCTGCGTACGCACGCACGCGTGTGTGGGGCTGCGCGGCTGTATCCTAATCGCGCACTTCTGGTTTCTCTCTCTTTCGGGTCCCCCCGGGCTGCGCTGCTCGCTGCAGGCACCTGAGGCCGTGCCGGGTTTGGGTTTCTCTTTTCTAGGCTTTTTTCCTCGCTGGGGCATCGCTGACCCCTGCGGCAGGCACGTGCCGCTCCGCCGGGCGGGGCCTCGGCCTGAAGCTCTGCGGGAGGACGGGCGGAGCCGGGCGGAGCGGCGCGGGGAGGAGAGCCGAGGGCGGCCCGGCGGTGCCTGGAGGGCCGTAAGGAAGGAGGGGACGGAGTCATCAACGGGGTCTGTGGTGGTTGACAGGACGAGGGGAAACGGCTTCAGCCTAAAGGAGGGGAGATTTAGATTGGATGTGGTTTTTTACGAATGGGTGGTGAGGCGCTGCACGGGTTGCCCAGAGATGTGGTGGGTGCCCCATCCCTGCAGACGCCCGAAGCCAGGCTGGCCGGGGCTCTGAGCGCTGTGGATGTCGCTGTGCGTCGCGGGGGAGTTGGACAAAACGACCGTTATAGGCCCCTTCCAACTCCAACAGTTCCAAGACTGAGTTCAGAACAAGCCCTGAGCGTTGCTGCCTCCTGTTCTGCTCAGAGGCAGCCTGGATGTGACAGGGATGTGGCTGTTCCTGGCCTGCCTGCGGTGCGTGGCTGTGCTGCCAGCAGGTCAGATGGCCATCCCCAGAGACCCCTCTGGCAGCAGCACTGCTCTTCCAGACCTTGCCTGGGCCAACAGGCTTGGGTGTCTTGAGTCCCTCTGGTTCAGCAGGAGGGGCTGCACCAGGCTGCCAGCAGCGGGCTTTCCTGCATGGCCCATAAGAGGTGTGTGGTCACTCGCCTCGTGCCAGTGCTAACTCAGTAAGTAAGTGTGTGTTATTGCTGCTGCGCGATGTGGTGTAAACTTCCTGGGTATGAACTGTACAGCACTCCCAGGCACACAGCTGAATGGGACCTGCATGTGGTGACAATACACTGGGCTTTTCCTTTTGCTGCTCACAGCTTTAGTGAGACAAAAGTAAACGAGCCAGTCCTGTTCGGGGCAACCTGCCTTCCACATAGGCCAGCTCGTAGAGATGCATATGCTTCCTATGAATTACATTTTCTACATGAATTACAAATTACATTTACATAATGCTGTTTTACAGAGAGAGTTGTGAGGCGCTGGAACAGCTGCCCAGATAGGTTGTGGTTGCCCTGTCCCCAGAGGTGTTCAAGGCCAGGTTGGATGGAGTCCTGGGCAGCCTGGTCTAGTATTATTAAATGGGGAGGTTGGTGGCTCTACATGTGGCAGGGGGTTTGGAGATTCATGATCCTTGAGGTCTCTTCCAACCTGGGCCATTCTGTGATTTTGGCACTGAAGCTATCAGTCCAGTTTTTGCTTGGAGACAATTTATTTGTGTGTTTTTTGTTGTTTTTTTTCCAAGTGAGGCCTCCGAAATAAAACAATTTCCTTCTTTCTTTTCCATGTGTGGCCTCATGCAGCTCGAGATATTGCTGTGCAGAAGATTGAGACGATTATAAAAGAACAGTTTGCCGTGGAAATGAAGAATAAAGAACACGAAATTGAAGTTATAGATCAGGTACAAAGGATTTGTCTTACAAAGTAGTTACAACACGCTGGGCTTTTGGAGGTCGTGCAGGCACTCCACATTGTGTGTTCTCTCTTCTTTCTGCAGCGCCTGATTGAAGCAAGGCGGATGATGGACAAGCTGCGTGCCTGCATTGTGGCCAACTACTACGCATCTGCTGGGCTTCTGAAACCTGGAGAGGTAAAAACCACGTGGGGAGCAAAAAGACTTTGGGCAGTATTTGCAAAGACTGATGTGTGGTCTGCTGGTTATGCAACCGATGTTGGATTTTAAGGTGCAGTTCATGTTCCACTACTTCAGAAAACTGCAGCTGGGATGTCAGTGGGAGGGGCGAGCAGTGTTCCTGCTGCCCCCAGGTACTTGGCCAGCACGTTTCCCTAATGGCCAAGGTGTCTGCTTCCTGAAACGCTTCCTGTGCTTTGTGGGTTGTGGCAGGAGAGCACTGCCCTCCTGTGCCTCGCAGCTCATCCTTGCTCATCACCCTGCAGGGATCTGCAAGCTTTCTCATCTCACCAAAGGAGAGTGGAAGTTGATGTATTTGGAACTTGTCAGGGGGAAAAAAAAACAAATAAATTCTGGAGTCATGAGCAGAGCCATGAAAGCATCCTCCCTGTTCCCAGGCAACCGTTCTGGTAACGGTGTGGTTAACAGCCTGAAAGCAGCAGTAAGACAGCAGTGAACCAAGGAGCTATCATAAAAAGATACAGCTGCATTAAGAAATGCAGCAACAAAATTCCTCCTGGTTAACCAACCCTCTGGTTAAAGGCTGTAGCACCTCTCCTATGAAGACAGGCTGAAGGAGCTGGGCTTGTTCAGCCTGCAAAAGAGAAGGCTGTGGGGAGGTCTCATTTCGGCCTTCCAGTATTTAAAGGCAGTTTATAAACATGAAGGAAATCAGCTTTTTATGCAGGTAGGTACAGATGGGACAGTGGGGAGTGGTTTTAAACCAAAGCAGGGGAGATTTAGATTAGATATCAGGGAGAAATTCTTTACTGAGAGTGGCCAGGCATCGGCACAGGCTGCCCAGAGAGGCCGTGGCTGCCCCATCTGTGGAGGTGATGAAGGCCAGGCTGAATGGGGCCCTGGCAATGTGATCTGGTGCTTCATCTAGCAACTGGCAGCCTGCCTGTGGCAGGGGGCTGGGAGTTGATGATCCTTGGGGTCCCTTCCAAACCAAGCCATCCTGTGGTTCTAAGCACTGTGTCCTGAATGCCTGGTGTTGTGGCTGATGTGAGTTGCGCTGCCAGTTTACTATTTATTTCAATTACCATTGTTTCAATCAGGGTGTTACCTGTTTTCCGGTGAAAACCTGCTCTGATATTGAAAACTGTACATGTCTGCTGAAAACTCAGGTTTCGCTTGAGTGCCTTGAAAATTTCTCTACCAAACAAAGGCTCTGAGCTGAGTTAGTGGCAGCCCTGGGCAGCTCAGGCATCCCTCCTCTGCCTTTGATTTTTTATGGGTGGCTGAAGAATTTGATTTAGGTTCTGCTCTTTTGAAGTACTTGTATCCAGTGTTGTCAAATGTCAGCAGGACATTTAGGTTCTGCCCGCTGTTCCTTGCTTTGCCATGCAGGGTGTTTGTCTCTTTCCTTACTGAGTTTCAGACTTTCCTTAAAAAAAGAAGAAAAAAAAAAAAAGTTCTATCATGTAGAGTGTTCATAAAGCTTGCTAGTGTGACCTTGTTGCGTTTCTTCTCCGTAGTTGTTATGTGCTCCTGCCTCGTGTAACTGTGTGATTGATTGCATTTTAATTTATTTCTAAAACTCCTTGTTTACATCCAAGCTAAATCAGTTCTCTATTTTTAACTTGTTACTAGCATCTTTTTGTGTGGTTTTTAATGTGGCTTTCACTTCTTTTTGATTCTGTTGGCCGTGAAAGGTTATTTCTGCCCTTGGGAATCTTTGCAATTTAACTCTGTGTGGTTGCTACGTAAATACTTTGCAGATCACCTTCTTGCCAGCTCCCAGTTTCTCATCTGTTTTCCTAAATACGAGCAGTTCCTCAGCCCAGTGCAGCTGGGGTGTATGGTTCATTATGGTTACGGTGGTTGGGTTTTTACTATAGATCAGTGAACGAGGCATTGGTCAGTTCACTGGATGAAGCAAGAGCAGAGTGGGTTGCTTACTGATTAATTTTGCACGTGCCTGGAAAACTGATAGGATTTCTGTTCTACACCTTCCAAAGCCCAGGTTCTGGTTTCAGAACTGCTAAGTTCTGAAGTTGTCTAAGTTCTGCTTGCTCATGCCCGGTGCCTGATGGGCAGCTGGGAGGATGGCTCCCTGATGAACACCAAAGCCCTGGGTGCAGGCAGTCCTGCTCAGAGCTGGTGTCTGTCTGCATGCCACCTCCCATCAAGATGGCAGAAGTTGCAAGGAGAGCTACCAGTACATCCAATGTGACAGGCTTTGGCTTCGTGGGCTGGGTCTGCCTGCTGCTGGCAAAAGGGCTATCCCTGCTCACATTGGATCTGCATCAAGTGGAGGTGACAGGGGAGCAGGGCTGGCCACTGTGAGCGCAGGGGGAGTTGTGCAGCTGCGTGGAGCAGGGCTGTTGGTGCCACAGAGGAGGGAAGCTGTTAGGTCCTGGGCACACTGCAGGTGTTCAGGTGGCTGCAGCCCTCCTTGCTGCCACCAAGTGCATTTCTGGGAGCAGAAGGTCTGCAGGAACAGATTCAATCTGGGATCATGTTTCTGAAGAGCTGCTGTAAGCTTTTCTCTTCAGTTACACACTTTTTTTCCTGTGAGGCAGGTGATGAGGTTATTGCTGATTATGTGTACGTTGACTTTTTGCTTTTTAGCTTAGCCTTGTTTGATTCGGGCTGCAGGGAAGTAATGACTGGTTGTGCCTGGCCTCTGTTGCAGGGGACCAGGTCATGTGATGCCACCATTCTTAATCACCCTTCCATCAAGAAGTTTCTGGAGTCACCCTCTCGCTCATCATCCCCTGCTCACCAGGGCTCGGACGCGCCGTCAGCCAACCACTCTGAGAGCGACTCTCTCTCGCAGCACAACGACTTCTTCCTGGACAAGGACAGTGGCAGCCTGGACGCGGATGAGCGGCTGGCAAACAGCCTGGACCAGAGGCAGAGCAGAAGTGCTGGCCGGGTAAAGTAAAGCAGTGGTGGTCATGTTGCTGTAGGGCCGTCTAGACTTGATGCTGCCTCCGGAAGCTGCTCGTGTTTTTACCTGCCTTGCTGAATGTTTCTTACCCCTTCCAACTGCTTGCTCCCACTTCAGCTTGCCCTTGCTGTAAAGCTCACCCAAGTGCATGTGTCTGGGCTAGCCTTACACAGCAGGAAGGTTGAATGGGCAGCAGGTCAGCATTGGTGTTGGCGCTGCTTCCTGCTGCAGCCCTGGGGCAGGAGGTGTTGTGCAGCTCAAGCCAAGGGCTTTATGCAGGTGGAAGTCAGACTGGGAGGGGCAGAGCCCACAGAAAAGAGCAAGACATGTCATTTCCTGCAGTGTTCTTAAGAATCTGGTGTGGCTGCATGCAGTGGTGCTGTTGCCTGTCCTGAAGGGACAGAGTGGCTGTATCCCCAGAGACTGGGTTGAGACTGCTCAGTGCTGTGTAGGGAAAGCACACTGTCACAAATGGGCTAGCGTTTCTGCAACTGAACATCTTGCAATAATGTGGCAGAAAAAGAATTGACTCTGCATCCAGTGAGCAGCATGTGACACCTTGCAAGCAGAGCAGCAGCCAGCTGAAGCCCTTCTTAGGGTTCATAGCAGAAAGTGGATACACTCTATGTGGACCCAACTGCATCGTGAGCTTCCAGACCAGCGTAGGTTGTTTCTGCACCAAAGGGGGCTTTGGTGAAATAGCTGTGTTGTGTGGGTGTAGCTTGGCACTGCATCTTGATGGATGCAGTGCAGAGGTGGCAAACGGGTGATGAGGAGCAGAAGCCATGTTAAGCTTCCATCCTGCTCTTGCTCCAATCTGGGGCATTGCCAATGTGATGAGGTAAGGTCATCCCTCTCAAATCCTCTGTTTCCCATGTCACGCCTGTAGGACAGGTGCTCAGGGCAGGATAGGGCAGCAGTCCTTGGTCTTTAGAAGCTGCTTTATCTGGCAGGCACAGGAAAACCTCTCCTTTTCATGCTGGCAGCTGCGCAGCCCGGGTGGTCATGGCATCGCGTCAGGCAGTTCCAAGTACTGTGTGAGAGCTGAGATTGTGCTGCAAGGTTGCTGAAGCTAGTTTCATGATGCCCAGGTGTTGGGGTGGATCTGTAAGCTCTTGTGGGTATCAGTGATGTATTAAAGCTGGTTCTGTGTTTATTTATGTGGAGCTGATTCTTTTCCCAAACTCGTCCTTGATTCTTCACTGCGTAGCGATGCTGAAGGCCCTCAAGGCAGCAGAAGCTGGGAATTGGAAAGGTTCAGGTTTTCAGCAGCTGCCTGTGGAAGACTGACTTGATTTCTGATGAGAGACAGAAATGATGATGCCTTGGCAATGCTTGATTTCCTTTGATTTTTCATTCAGTGCAGAGGTGTTGCTTTGAAACCCAGACTGGAGTCATAGTTCAGATCCGTGGCACTTTGCGTAACTTGCACCACACTAAGCCATGCAGCATCCACATTGCTGGGCACAGTGTCCTCGTTGTGTGCTGAATTGCTTACGTGTGCCCGGAGAGCAGTGTAAGTGCAATGACTCATTGTTGGCCTCTCATCTACAAAATTTAACCAAATCTTACTTTCCTAGTGCCAAACAGAATAATGTTTAAGAGGAACACGTGTTTGCCTTATTCTTTTCTTCTACCCCCAGGACAGTTTGGGTGTTTCTAGCTCCCAAAAACCAGGACAACGAAATGCTGGGCTGTCAAACGATGAGACGTCACGGCTCTACGTGAAGAAAACAATTGTGGTGGGCAACGTCTCCAAGTTAGTATCCAGAGGCCTTGTGGTGGCCTTCGGTTCAGGATCAAGCAGAATAACAGGTTAAAAGTAGGAGACAGATTGGGCTGTGGCAGTGTTTGTGTTGCCCTGGAATGACCGTACCCAAGGTTGCCCTCCCTGAGCTGTTTGGCTGGGGTGATTTTTAGGAAGCTGAAGGCAGGTCAGGGTTTTAACTCTCTGTCCTTGCACTGCTGATCAGTCTCCAGTTGTACAGCAATTAGCAAATGTTGGCTGATGAGACTTACTGTTAGGATTGTGTCTTGAAAAATCTGCCTAATCCTGGGACTGGAATCAAGTATGAATCAGATGCTTAATAGCAATATTTTAATATTTATGATAGCAGAGTTGCTGATGTTCTGGACTGGTTTCACTTCTTGATACCTCACAAAAGGGATTTGATGGTGTTACAGTATTAAAATTAAGCTTTCCTAATTAAGAAGCGCAATTTTAAACAGATGAACTTCATATGACAGTTGTGCACTAGAATCAAGGGGAAATATTGAAAGTATGGAGTAAATTGAGGAGTTTCTCTTTTTTTTTTTTTTTCTCTGCAGAATCTGAACGGTTATAGAATATAGAATAAGAAGCAGAGGTGTACAGGGGCAAGGAACACACAGGCATTTTACCTTCCCTGATTTTTTTTTTGCCTGATCTTTGCCAAAGTACTTCTGTCCATTTGAGATTTTTGTCTTGTGTTTGTTTGCTTTGCCAGGTACATTCCCCCTGACAAGAGAGAAGAAAACGATCAGTCGACCCATAAATGGATGGTGTACGTTCGAGGCTCTCGGAGAGAACCCAGCATAAATCACTTTGTCAAGAAAGTTTGGTTCTTCCTGCATCCCAGTTACAAACCCAATGACCTGGTAGAAGTAAGGTAATAGAGAGTTCTTTCTGTTGTTACTCTGTCTCCGTGTTTGCCAGGCTTACATTTCCATGTTTCTTGAGTCGAACTTGCCCTTCTTATCCTGATTTTTCTCTTGCATATCTTACTTGGACCTCCAGCTTGTCTTGATTTGCTCTTAGCATAACAGTAAAAATAAATCAGTTTTTGCCTAAAATATCCTAACCACTTGTTGGATTTCCCTAGTGCCAAAAGCATTTGTCAGTTTCATCACACATTCTCCCTGTGAGGTGATGTATCTGTATGCATTGGGCTGTCTGCTGTGCAGGTGGTGCTTGTCAAAGAGGAGTTCTCTGCCTGCCTCCCAGCACAGCGTGGGAGAGAAAGAGAAGTCTCAGGAAGCTGTCTGACCAATAGCTGTTGTGCCAAACATGCATAGATCATTAAGTTTTGTCCTTTTCCCAAGTATTTCTCTTCCATACTGAGATCCGTGACGTTGACTTCATGCTTTGAGGAACCAATATCCCATCAGTATAAAGGTATTGGTGCTGCAGAAACAGGGCAGCTTCTCTGTCCTTTCCCAAGCTATAATCAGAATTGTGATCTGTTGAGATCAGTGAGCTCAGTTCTGCGTCCACTAATGTAGGAAAATGCCCTGTCTGTTCTTCATTCTTGTTGCTTTGGGCAAGACAGTGGGAGAATACCTTCAAACTGCTTTGTGTTATGGTGAAGAAATTATTCTCCGGAGGATGGTCAGCTGCTTGTCTGGAAGAAAATGAGCAGACTGATAGCATGGCTACAGGATGGCAGCTTGATGCTGGCAGAATAGGGAGCTGCCTTTCAGTCAGCTTCAAAGACGTAGCTGAGCTGAGAAGAGTCAGAAAGGCTCAGTAATGATTCTGAAGAGGCGATGCTGAGCAGCATGAAAACAATCTCCGTTGTATTTCTGGTATAATGCACTAAATGACTCTTGGCTGCTATCTTTTTGTGCCTTTCTCAGTTCCCAGTATCTAATGTCAGTACAGTTTCTCTTCTATTTTAGTCTACTCTAGTGGATTGATTTCTTCTTGTCACATAGTCCCACTCATTTCAGTGAACATTCATGTTCTGGACTAAAAATAGCATTTAAACCTCTTGTTTCATTGCAGAGATGCATTTGAATTTACAAAATTTACAAATATATATATTTTTAAAAATCATGGTGGTTTCCCTCTTTTCAGATTGGAGAATGACCCTGGTGGAGCTAGCTTTTCCTTGCAATCCACGTATTGTTTCGTTGGCTTTAGATCTCTTTCCTGCCAGATAGGGAACAGCAAGAAGAGATTGCAAAATGTTGCACTGAAAACTCAGCTTGCAGCAGTGTCTTAGGAGCTGACTTAGATGGTTTTGTTTGTTTCTGAAATTAATATTATTTACTTGTCATTACACAGGGTTTTTTTCATGTTTGTGTTCAATATTCTCTCATCCACCCATTACAGCATCTTCTCTGTCCTGTTATTCAAAGTAGGTTTTCAGCTGTCCACAGACATGACATTTTGTGGTTGGATTGCATTCTCTGTGGCAAACAGCAGGCCTGAAGATAGCTTTAGCTGTCAATTAGCCAAGCAGTCCTTGGCTTTCTGAGGAAGAGGCTTTTGGAGACTGAACCCTCTGTGCATGCATCATGTGAATCATTGTTTGCAGGGAACCTCCATTCCACCTGACCAGGAGAGGCTGGGGAGAATTCCCTGTGAGAGTCCAGATACACTTCAAGGATAGCCAGAACAAGAGGATTGATATCATACACAATTTGAAGGTATTTGACCTGAATGCTTCAGAGAAAGGCAATGAGTGAGCTCCTGTATAATCTAGAGTGTGCCTGTGTGCTTGTTCATGCTTCTGCCTCTCTCGGGTTTGTCCTACTGCTCTTTTGCATATGAATGATTGTACTGGAGAATCAGAAGAGGTCCAGGAAAGCCTCTCATGTGCCTGTATTAGAGGCCATGCTATAGCCAAGAATCCCAGCTTTGCAAACAGACATTTACCTCTTGGTTTCCTCCAATATGAGGTTTTTAGCATACTCTCATTGGCTTTAGCCTGACAGGTCATTGCAGGGTCATCTATCCTTGGTAAAGTGACTGCTGTGTCCTTTCTGTTCCTTCTGCACTTGCGTGTATCAGCCACAGATTCTGCCTTTTGGTAGAGAAGGCAGGGAGGGGCAGGGATTCCTGTCCATTCCTTGTCTCCAGTCATTCACCTGTCCTGTGACATACAGTAGGATGTGGAGTCTGCAGCAGTCCTGGAAAACTAGGCCATGCTTTTGTTTTACTTGTAATTAGCAGTGCCTGGCATTAGAGGCATTAAGTCCTGAGCTTGTTTATTTTGACGTGAGCCGCATGATTAGTTTCATTTAAACCCTACTTACTTGCAATAATGAATTTTCTGCTGCTGTAAATTCCTTGTTCCAGCCACGTGTTTGGGTTTCTTTTCTTATTATTTACTCATATTTAGGTGCTTCTCAAATTGCTACCCTTAGGTTAAACGGGCTGTCTCCCAACAAATGCCATTTCCCTCAGCTTTTCTGCTCCCTCCTGTGTCAGTGCAGCCCTGGGTTGTGGTTGGCTGCTTTGTAGAAGAGGGTCCTTAGCAGCACATGCATTTCTGACTCCGTGGTTTAAAAAAATAACATATTTCCGCTCAACCTCTGTAGTTCCAATTTATTTTCGAGCTGTTTTGCTGTAATTTACAGTGCAGTGTATTGCTTTGCCCTTGTTAATGTGAGCCTCTTGCATTGTTTCCCCAGTTGGACAGGACTTACACCGGCCTGCAGACGCTGGGCGCAGAAACGGTGAGGCAGCAGGCGGTGGGATGGGTGTGATAGCTGGTTCCATTGAGGGTGTTTAAAAAGAAATAAGATGCAGAACACTAAGCACCAAGTCAAACTCATCCGTTTTCACAATTTCTGGAATGAAGATTTTGATCTGTTGCGATATGAAATGCTTGTGACACCCTGTGCGACATGACAGCACTCCTTTTTCCATTTCTGGTTCAGGGAAAAAAATTTAACAAGTACTTCACTTTGAGAACTTGTTTCTTTGCATGGCCTCTGATACCAGATGTCTCACTTTCCTTTCTGATGTGCTGCAGGTGTCGTACATCAGGATTTAAATTTAAGATTTTGCCTAACTGTCCTGCTGACATCTTGCAGTAGCTTAAGCACAGCTTCCGCCTGTGCCATCTTTCAGTAACCTTGTGAAAAAACAACTCTTAAAGCTGTAAATAAAATAAATGAATAACCCAGTCTGTTATATCCCTAAAGTGTGTCTCTTATTTTTCCCCTGTGCTGTAGTAAATGGAAAAATTTTATTGTGGAACTACATTATTCTAGTCTGGAGAAAGCATTAATGTGAGATGACCACATTACTCTTCAGAAATGTCTTTAAGTTTGACAGTGTAGTAGTGGTGTTATCAAAATGCAAGCTGAGCTCTGTGCCAACCCCAAGGGATTGCCTGGGAATGGGCTCTCTGCTCTCAGTGTTTGCTGCTCAGATTTCCCCATGGATGCTGTTTTACTAGAGCAGCGTAGTGATGTGAGATTCTTGTCCTGCACCAGGTGCTCCTGGACCTGTGGGAAGCCTTCCTGAGATGAATGGGAGTTTTGTGCAGAGCTGGGGGGAGGGAGAGATAGGATTCCAGCCATTATAAAGTAATTGCAGTGAAAACAAAAGGCATATCTGTTGGTTTTTTTTTTGCTCTCTATACCTAACTACCAAATACTAATGTCACTGATTTCACCTGTTTCTGGAAGGTAGTGGACGTGGAGCTGCACAGGCATTCCCTTGGTGAGGAGTATCTCTTCTCCCAGTCTTCAGAATCAGACCTTTCTGATGCTCCAGCATCTTTACCACTGCCACTGAGTATCCCAGCACCAGTCAAAGCTTCTTCACCAATCAAACAGTTGCGGGACTCCAGCCCAGATGCTTCTGCTGACAAAGGTAAAGCAGATGGGTACTGGTGAGATATGAGTCCTTGGAACTTCCTCTCTTCTGGATACCTTCTCCTAGTTGTTTTCTTGGCTTAAAGGGTATTTATTCTGTGCTCCTTGCTTGCCCCGGGTGGTTATTTTATTAGTGCACAAGGAAACGCAATTCAGAAATTGTGACCGTTTGTTCTCATTTTGTTTTTCAACTTGTAGTTTGCATAGTGGGCTGTTCTTCTAAAATCAGTGAATGTAGGCACGTGTGCAGCACATGCAGTTGGACAAAGGCTGTTTAATAGAACTTTTGCATACTGTTTTCAGAGAGCTGCTAGGTTTCTGCAGACTGTGTTATGTTTGATAGTCTGGTGGTGTGTTCAGTTATTTATGTTTGTTCCTAACGTGAGATGAGCTTGAAAAAAAAAAATCTTCTAATGTAACTGAGGTGTTGAAAGGGCAGAGCAAAAAAGACAAAAAAGATGTTGTGTTTGTTTGCCTGAAGGATGGCATTCGTGTATCAGTCTGGTTCTCACCTTCCCCTGAAAGGTCTGGCAGTGCAGTGCCCTGCAGCGTGCCAGCAGTTCATGCTGCAGCATCATGTGAATTGCCTGAAGCAAGCTGGGTGCTGGCCAGGTGGACACACTATTCTGTTTTTAAATTTATGTGAAATAGGAAAAACTGCATCTCTGTTAGCATTTAACTTATTTTTCTGGAACGTACAGTGTTAAGATAAGCCTCAGTTCTCTGGGCTGGGAAAAAAAGGAGTCTTTGATGGTTCGCGTGTTTTGATATGAGAAATTTGCTGGAAACAGCAACTTTGTATTTCTAAATATGATCAGATAACATGACTATGTTCCTTTTGTGATCTATTCTGATTCCTGTATTAAGGAATGACTGCAGTGCTGATGTTTTGCATGATGCATTCTGCCAGGGGCATTGTCGTGGCTCAGCAAGAAAGTCTGTTGTTTGAGTGCAGTGTTTTCTCATGGAGGCACAGCCAAAAAAAAAAAGGGGGAAAGGAAACAAACATTAAATGCACAGGATTTTATCAGAGCGTGAAGATATGCAGTAGCTGTAGAAGAGGGAGGAAGTAAACTTGCCTCCCATGCTGACTGACATAGCTTCTCTCAACGGGTTAACTGATCTCCTTTTACCTCAGGTAAGACAGATTCTTTATCCCAGGTCAAAAGCAGTAGTTGGTCTCCCTGTATTTTACTCCAACAGATGTACTGAGGGATTTCCTGTGAAGGAAATTTTTGCCTTAGCTGTGCAGAATCCGGACTGTGGTCATGGAACTGCCAGCAGCTTTTGGTCATTGGAGGGGCCTTTTCATAAGACGCTGCACACTGGCTGGTGACCTACCGAAGCTGAACAGGCTGTGTATGATAGCATTTTGCTCTTTGGTTCAGGGACAGATCCACCAGGCTTGCTTAGGAGGAAATCCATTATCACCCTTTCTTCCTTTTCAGCACCTCCCACCAGCTGCTGTCTCCTTCTTTCCTTCCTTTGAGAAGGTATTTGTTGAATCCTAGTTATGTTTATGTAGAGAATCACAGTAAGGCATTAGGCCTCTCAACCTAAGAATTATTTTTCTTCTTTTCCCTGTTTTAATCAGGATTCCCTGGGAATGCTGAAACTGAAAGACATGCCACGTTTTATTCCCTGCCATCTTCGATAGAACGGACTCCCACCAAATTAGCCACACAGAAAGTTCCCTTTGGCTCTCATGGAAATTCAGCCTTTCAGCCCATTGCAGCTAGCTGTAAAATAGTGCCTCAAGGTCAGATTCCAAGCCCTGCAGAGTCGCCAGGAAAATCCTTCCAGCCTATCACCATGAGTTGCAAGATTGTATCAGGTGAATGTTAGTTTACATATCTGAGCGCTTCACTCTGGAAAACCAGAGATTGAACCAGTTGGACTCGTTTTGTGTCCTTTCCCTGCCTGCCTGTGTTTGAACATCAGGCAGTAGGAAACTAGAATGAGGAGCTAAACACAGTAAGCGTGAAATGCTCCGTGTCAAATCAAAAAAGGGATGAGAACTTTTCTTTCCCTGATAATGAATAATTTTAGGTATGAAGATCGTAGTCTTTAACTGGAGAGAAAGGCCTAGGCAAGGATGCTTCTTCCATATGTGCTGTTTGTATGTGGGAAGAAGCCATTCTTCTCCCTCCCTCTTCTGGACAACAGGGATTGATTAAAAAGAACTTTGTTCTGATTATTGGATGATGAATTTTCAACCTTGTTTGCTCAAATGGTCCATCTTGTACTTATGATATCTCCTCAAATGGAGCGACTTTGGTCTTCCTCTTCCAGAAGTGCACCCTCTGGATTAAATTTCCAGGGTGCTCTTTGGGTAACTTCTCAACCAGTGGTGGCCAAGGTGCTAGTTATTCACTTAGCTTATAGAGCTTTCCCTGCCTGGGCATGATCCCATCCACTGGAAGATACTTTGCATCAGAAAGTTGTTACGTGCAGCTCACTGTGTCACGTGTGAAGGTGGGAGATGACCTGCTGAATGTCAGAAAATGAAGCACCAGCTATCACTGTGTGTTTTCTGATCTGCTCCCACATTATTTTTCTCAAGTATCAGGATGGTTTTTTTGTTTGTTCTTAGATTTCAATATTTTTCTGTGACATCTTTTAGGTAGTAGTGATTTATATTTGAACCTATGCCTTGTGCTTTCTTCTTTCTCAATAAAATACTACTAATCTTCTAATAAGCTCTGCTGCTAATCTTCACTCTACTAATTCTTCTTTTTCCAAGCCTGTCCAGAAAGCAAGAAGTATAGTGCATTCTATCTTTCTCAATATCCTTGGATTATTCTCTGTTGGTTTTTGCTATTTAAATGTTTCTCTAAGCATTCCTGCAAGACTGCTGTCTGCTGAGAAGCATCACCCTTCCAGGTTCGAACAGCAGCTTATAAAACATAGGGATTATTTATGCTCCATTTTAATAGTAAATCGCTGCCAACAAAGCAGATTAACAAGCAGCTGAAGTTTAGTGTACTTGCTGCCATCTTGTTACTTTCTTGCCTGTCCTTTTCTCCACGTTTCTTGATTATCCCCTTGTGCATTTTTTTTGCTTCTGTTTTTCTCCTGGCCTTCTTACCCCCAAGTTGCATATGTGCCTTCAAGGGTATCTGCTGTCATGAGAGCAGTGAAGAGACAAGATTGGCTTGGCCTGGCTGCTGGCTGCTGTTTCACACAGCCTTTTTACATGAACTGTTTGGTCCTTGGCCTGGATGCCTGCATTATGGGCTCCTTGAGGGAAAGAGAGTGCTTATCAAAGAGCTCAGCTCTCTTCCTTTATTTTCTTGGGTGGTCTGGATTTAACAGTGAGAAAGATGTTAACCCACCTCAGAATTCAAGCATGGGCTAGCTGGCTTTCTAAGATCTCTTTGAACCCTGTTTGGCTCAATGGATAAAGAATGCCCAGGGTAGGTACGAGCTCTTATGCTTCACACTCCTTTAACTCCCACTTTATTCTTTCTCTCTCTTCTCCAAGCTCTGTGATCTGGCTTAGTCTTGGAAATGCATCCTCAAAGACATTCCTTCTCTAATCATTTGTTAACGCGCTACTACTGCTGTATTTTTGTGTTCTTACAACATTGATGAGATAGAAGCATTGGACTTTTTTCCTGAAGGTTCTCCAATATCGACCCCTAGTCCATCTCCGCTACCTCGTACCCCAACCTCCACTCCGGTGCACATGAAGCAAGGCTCTGCTAGCTCAGTCATTAATAATCCATATGTTATTGTGGACAAGCCTGGACAGATGGTTGGAGCAGCAGCCACAAGCACAGGTGTGTAGTGTGACCCCAGAAGGCAGAGTGACTTCATCTTACGCATTCCAGTTTACTGTCCCTTTCAAATGGTAGTGTAATCATGGTATTTCAGTCTGGAAAGTTGGAACTGTACTCAACAAAGAGAGAATGTTTGCTTGAGTGACCTGTAACACGGCTGAGAGTGTGTCAGAGTTGACTTCAGTTTTATTTAGGAAACAGCATGTAGTGTAAAAGTTCTTAACAACCATAAAAGAAAGGAAAGAAAGTAGTACAGACTGTGTGGTGAGTAGAGGTTTAAACACAGACAGTGCACAGCTGGTTGGGCAAGGACTGTGTCTTGGGTATGGGCAGAGAACACGGGGAGAATTGCAGCAGCTCACAGATGTGGTTCTGAGTCCAGTGCAGGAGATGTGACCCACAGCTCTGCGTTACCAGAGCGGGTGTTGTGACCAGTGTGTTTCAAAGCATGCTTTGTGTTTGTGTAGGTGTGTACTTACTGGCATCTCAGGGTAGTTCTTAGAACCAGGTGTTGAACTGCAGTGTCCATGTGATGCTAACTGTTCTTTGGACATGGCTGGAAAATGCCAAAAAATCCCTTAACGCTGCTGATAACACAGCTGTCACACTGTGTCCAGTTTCCTCGCAGAAGGAACTAGTAGAGAAAATATAGTAGTAGCTGAATGTTTTTAGTGTATCTGGGGGCTTTCCTGATATGTTGGTTTCGCCAGTAGGGTTTTTGTTTTTCTTTTGCTGGTTTTTCCTGTTTCTTCCTTACCTCCAGCCTGACTCTGTTCTGCTTCATGGTTTGTTGTGGCTTGGTGACTGTCGTGTTCTCCTAGTAGGGAACTTTACATGGAGAATAGGATCTGGAGAAGCATCAGAGGGTATGAGTATTCAAGTCCAAATGCTACTGAAGTGCACCTTCATGTAGTTTCCCACTACATCAGTGTGATATCAGTACAGACTGGCCTGAAAAAACTGCCTGCTGCTTCTCCCTTCCCTCGTGTTCCTGTCATTTCACCCTGTCCTACACAAACCAAATCAGATGGGTGGCAGAGCAGAAAATTAGTGCCCTCCCCTCCCCTTATTTTTTGTTGTTGGACACAGGCCCTGTGTGGAACAAGGGGAGTATGGAACTGGCTTTCTGGCAGCAGCAGCTAGATAGGATTGAGTAGAAAGTGACATTTCAGACAAAATAGTTATTTTCTATAAAACTTTTGATCATATTTAAGAGGGTGACACCTGAAACTTAGTGTTTTGTGGAAGCCAGCCTTTATGTATCCCATTGTTTTGAGAAATGGCTGCACAGTTTACTTATAAATGTAGGTGCGGGTTATAATGCATGTGAGAGACTATGAACTTGTTCTTACTGTGGTTTTGGCATCTCTTTATCAAAAGAAGCTACAAAACCAGGCTAGTAGCAGTAACTGAATTGCTGCAGGGCAGCAGCTGTGGGTTGCATACAGCGCTGCTAATACAGAGCAAGTTTGTCACTGGCTTTTACACTCAGACCCTCACCTGCGTAAGGCAGCAGGTGGGTACTGTGGCACACCTTTCCAGGAGCAGACCCAGGAACCTGTCTTCATCTCTCACTTCCAGTTCTTCGTCTTCCCTCCCTTCCTCTCATTACTCCTCACCCAGTGTGTCCCTTCTTTTCTGACCTTCCTCTTTCCTTCCATGCCATCTTCCTCAGATCCTTCTCAGTGCCATGTCTAAAGCTAGAGCAGGTTCAGAGGGTTTCAGGGCAGTGGAGGGAGCTACATTTGTGGCAGCAAATTCTAACTTGGGAGCTTGTTTACTGTTGTCATTTCTTGTAGTTCACCTGTAGCCAATGCAGGCAGTCATCCAGGAGCTATCTTCCAATTTGCAACAGACAGCTCTGAGTGTGGGCTGCAGACCCTCCACCTGGGAGCTGTGCTGTCCTCCTGGAGCTGCAGAACCATGTGGGGTTTGGGGCCCAACAGGGGGAAAGTAGAAATGGGAGACCTCCAGTATTGAAAAATAGTCTCCTTTTTCATTCTGTACAGATGATGAGAGACAAGGACCTAGTGTATTTGTAATGAAAAGTAGTTTGTTCTGTGCCTGTGCCAACACCCACTGATGTCCCTTGTTATGTGCACCTCATGGACAATAGAGAGTTGAGATGAAATGCCTCCTTTGTGGTTAGAAGGGCATCAAGTTGAGTGGCACTGCTCCCTGCCCTGCCCTGAAGTCTGCCTTGTTTCCCAACACACAGGGAGCCCCACCAGCAAGCTGAGCAACGTTTGTCAGGCCTCTCATGGGGCCGGGTCTCCTGTACCGAAGAGCCACGGGAGCAGCTTTGTGACCTCAGCTGTTAAGGTAATGTTCTTGTGGGGCGTGCTTCCCATTAAAGGCACAGCTTTCAAAATATCTCATCTGTCAAAAGACCTCTTTTTTTAGTAGACTAGGATCTGTTTCGGTCTGTTAATGACAGTATATAATTAAACCAGATGTGCCTACTTCAAAAGCTCTACTTGGTTTATTATTTTATGCTGCAGCTGTTCCTAGCAGTCTTAAAATAGGTAATTTGTTGACTTTATAACTGCCTACATGCAGAAAAATAATCATGCAAATAGCAGAGTAACTGAACCTGTAACCAGTGATCAATAGGGTTCACATTCTGATCTGCAAAGCTCAAATGGTACAGAGCTGATCTATCAGATAAAATCCTTCCCTGCACAAGATGTGGGAGAGGTATTTCTGACAGGCAAGCAGCACCAGTGAGCCTCTGCCTGAAAGCAGCTGCTGCTCATGGGAGCTATTCCCTGTCTTCGTGACTCAGGAACCTTGATGTTGGTTGTGGAGAGGAAGGTTTTCCAGTCAGCTTGCAGAAAGCAGATTGTTTCCCATTTGGAGCTGAAGTGCTTCCCACATCTGTTAAGAAAAATGTGTTGAAGATTGCTCTCCGAAGCGATTGGTTTGCAGCACTTTAACTGTCAGGTGCTGGCTGGCTGTTCTGCTTCCAAGAGCCTGTCCATCAGCTGGGTTTTACTTAACTGTTAAAAGTCACTTGTTTTATACTGGTTTGGGGCTGTTCTTTTTGTAAGGTTTTAAATGAGTCAGAATGGGCACGTATCATTGTAAGAGCTTCATTCTGTTGGATTCGGTTAAAATCTGAAGGTATTTAAAACAAAAGAAATAATAACTTTGTAAGCAGATGTATTTATGTCCACACATCTTCTGGCTAGTGGGAAGTTGTGATTTTGTGGTTTCTTTAAGAGGGAGGGATGTCTGGTAGTTCAGTGTGATGTTATAGGTGGTATTTCACTTAGTGCTTTTTATCTCTTCACTGCATGCTGGTTTCCTCTGTATATTTTTTTTTTAATGACTTAAACCTGCATTTCTTCAATCACTTGAACATGACCAGTATGCATGGTGCTCTTGAATGGGCTGGCCATGCCTCTGACCTTGTCTTCACTCCTCCTCCTGTTTGCTGGCAGTGGTTTGCTCTTGCTTGCCACGTAGCTATGTAACTGATCTGGTTGGAAGCTCATCTGTTTTCACCTGTCTGCATTGGCACAGGAAAGGCAGGAGTACTGATTTAATGTCTTGAGGATTTTTCGGTTGTGTTCCATCCCAAGGATGGACTAAGCAATCGTGAAACCGCAGCCATACATTTCACACTGATCCTAAAGTAGTACAATTATTTTAATTAAACAAACTATAACTGTCCCATAATTCCTCAAATACACTGGACAACTCTCTTGCCCAGGTTGCTCAGGAACATGTCCAGTTGGATGCTGAGTATCTCCAGTGTTGAAGAATCCCCAGCCTCTCTAGGCAGCCTGTTCCAGAATTCAATCACTACTTAAAGAAAAAACAACAAAACAACTTATGTTTAAACAGAATGTGTTGTATTTTAGTTTGTGCCCATTGATTCTTGTCCTGTCATTGCACAGTATTGAACATTGTCTGACTCAGTCGTGTTCTCACCCTCCCATCAGTATTGTGTCCCTTGATTAGATACCCACTCAGACATGACTTTAACATACAGCTATTAGCCTGCCTCAGTGTTACAGCTCAGAAATGCTTTGTATAAGAAGCTGGGGGGGGCCTGTCTGTTTCTTTCATTTGTGTATGATGTGGTAAGAAACAGTTACTGCTGTTGGAGGTGTAAATTGACAATTTGCTTAATATGTTGTATTAAGTATGTTACATTCCTGTTCCTTAAGTGTTTTTGGAAATGGTTTATTTGTACAGCTAATTTGGAATTGCCCAAATTGTCCATGCCACCCACTATTAGTAATCTCTTTTTTAATTGCTTTTGTTGGACATTTCACCAATCTTTGTGCCACATCTTCCTATTTGCAGCAGGAGGATTCCCTGTTTGCCACCATGCCACCTCTTTGTCCCATTGGGAGTCATTCCAAGGTGCAAAGCCCCAAATCAGTCACTGGAGGACTTGGAGCTTTTACAAAGGTATTCCTCTTGGCATTTGTGCCTGGACAAGGAGCCTAGTTTTACCATTTCTTGCTGCCACAAACCATGTAACTTAAGCATGTGGAGCTTACTGGAACCAGTGTGCCTTGCTGCCAGGAGCTCTCTAGCCCCTCTCTAAAGATGAATCTTAATTTCTTTTCCTGTGACTCTGCTGTTGCTGTGATCTTTCCTTTCGTTATCTCCTTCATCCTTTCTTGTTCTCCTTTGAGTCACTGTTGTATTGAAGCTGATACTTTTAAAGGCTTTATTTGGTCAGCTACCATATAAGTAAACAGTAGTAGATCTACCTACTTTTACATTTTGTAATGGTTTCTTACAAAATGCTGTGGTGATTTCTGAGTGTCAGATGTTTCCATTTGTGAGTAAGTTTCCTTAGAAGTTACCACCTTGAATTTGTTCCTGGTAATACTAGGAGAACCAAAAGATTGAAAGTGTTTCCTAGCAGTTACAGAATCCACAGCAATCTGGTGGGAGAAAAAAACACCTGCCAAACCAAGGGCCTTTCTTAAGTTGCTGATCTCGATGATTAGATTTATGGCTTGTCCCAGATAAAATCATACCGTGTTGAAAAGTACACAAGAAAATAATATAATCTGTAACCAGTTACAGTATCTATACCTGGTTACAGTATCTACAGATATAATATCAATTATAATTTTGCAAGGTAGAAAATAAGGATGTTTTGGGCAGCGAGGTTCATAGGTATTTGAAACCTTACAGTGTTCTGTCTCCTTTCTGAGATGCAGGATACCAATAGTAAGATTGAGTACTTACAATACTCCTGGAAATGTCTGTGATGCTTTAATTTCTGTGAGCATCTTTCAAAGTGGGAATGCTGGCTTAAGTACAGGCCTCCTCACACGCTTGTGTGCTGGGAGTAGCCCTCACAATAGGATGAGTTAGAGTTCACCTGGTGCTGTGTGAGAACCATGTCTGAGTTACTGTTGTGTGCCTGTTCCTGCAGGCAGGCTGTTCCAGAAATGATTCCCAGTGTCTTAGTTGTTTGCTTTTTGTTTGGCTTTTGTTTTGTGTCAACTTTATTATGTTACTTAATAGGTGATAATAAAACAGGAGCCAGGAGAGCTGCCCCAGCAACCCCAGGTGTCAGCAGCAGGGCCGACCACGCAGACCTCTGTGCAGCAGTATGTCACAGTAAAAGGAAGCCACATGTTGGCCTTGTCACCGCAGAAGCCAGCTGTGAGCACGAGCGAGGGGACAGCACAGTCCAAGGTATGAGGCACTTGGGCATCTTTGGTTGGCTGTCAGCCTTCTGTCTTGCCTTGTAACACCTCGTGTTTCTCCTGTGGCCACGGGGTTGGTTGTGCCTCAGGCACAGGCAGCAGTACTCTGGGTAGCAAGTTTCCCATGCGCATTTAGCTCATGGTGTGCTTACCTCTTGCCCTTGTGAAGGGAGCAGCATACACAAATGCTACTGCGTTTCATTGCTTACAGAAAGCATTTCCTACTCCTCTCTAGCCCTTTGCAGCAGTGAGGAGGAGGCTTGTTTTGAACTGGATCCTGACAACCCAGAAAGTTGGCTGCCGTTATCAGCTTTTGCTGAAGCTCATCCAGGTCTCTCCATAAAAGGAAGTAAATTCTTTCCTTGGACAGCAGGCCTGCAGCAAAAAATAAAAGAGCAGGACAAACAGGGAGCAGGGATGAAGACTGGTCCAGAGCTAGCATAAGGTTTAAGTGGTGCTACGCAAGTGGTTACGGAACTGATTTGACAGGGGTGATGAAGCATTGTGAGGATTGTGAAATTGTGTGCTGACCACAATGGACTGCATATGGAGGGTTGAGTTTTTTCGTAAGTACATATTTGCATTGCCCTTTTTACTGCCTTATTTGCCTGTTTGAGCAGGTATGCAAACTCTGCGTTTGCCTGCAGATACATCAACACACAAACTAAAGCACTCTGCAGATTCTAATTTGAGGCCATGGTTTTCCCAGGGAGTCTGTTCCCATGAATGAGTTGAAATTAAATCTCTGGATTTCCACCAAGGCAAGCTTTATCCTTAGTTGGAATTAATCCATTGCTTGTATATCAGAGAAAAATGAAGTTGCCCTGTGATTTGAATGTATTTAATCTTTTGTGAGTACTCTGAAATCCTGGCTGTGTTTAATAGCTTATTGCTCTTTACCTGGGGTTGGCTTCTTGCCAGTCCAATGTTGATTGGGGATAAAGAACCTTACACACAAGTAGACCTATACAAATTGTCCTGAAATACCTAGAGGTGAAGGCAGCGTGCCAGTTAGAACTGGAGTGGTTGAGTGTCACATCATGCAGTGCTTCTTTGTTGCAGGTTGTTGGTGTTCCAGTTGGTTCTGCTTTACAGTCAACAGTGAAGCAGGCAGTGGCTATCAGCGGTGGCCAGATACTTGTGGCAAAGTCTGGTTCTTCAGTGGCAAAGGCTGTTGGTCCAAAACAGGTTGTGACTCAAGGCGTAGCCAAAGCCATCGTGAGTGGAGGTGGAGGAACAATCGTAGCTCAGCCTGTGCAGACTATAACAAAGGCACAAGTTACTTCCACAGGCGCTCAGAAAAGTACATCACAAGGATCAGGTAGAGTGATTTTGCACCTTGTTAATGGCTCGCTGTGGTTCTGTAATGATTCCTTCACATCTGAAATAATTCTGTGATGGAAAAACTTGAAAATGAATAGAAAGATCTATAGTGTGGTAAATGTTACCTTGTTATCTGCAAGAGGGAAGGATGCACAAGTACAATAACAGTATGCTCCCTCCAAGGAGCAGAGTACTTGTTTCTGTGTTTCAGTTACACGGGCAGTGGGTGTTTGGGGTGCCCTGGGATGTGGAGATCAGCACGATGTGCTGGGGAATGGGCTGCAGACCTGATGAACTTTCACAAAGCCAGATCTTGTGCTCCTGTCCTGCCCAGCGCTGTGGTCCTTGGATGCTCAGGGGGCCCCACATGAACCCAACAAAAGCTCAACTGTTCTTACTGCATCTCCCATCTTGCTCAGTGCCTGCAGTTAAGGGAATTTGGGCAGAAGCATCCAGCCTGCTTCTGCATGCAGCTGGCTTTAGCTGGGAATGTTAGCTCAGACTCTGGGCTGTTTGAAATGTGCTGTGTGGCCTGTAAACTTAAGCCAGCAGATTCCGCCACTGTATTTCTTTGGCCTGTGACCTGCAGAGATTTCACTTAATCTTTTTTCCTAGACCTATTCAAAGTGTCTGCATCACTGGTGGATTTTATCTGCTGTTATGGCAGCTAAGCATGGTTTATTGAAGGCTAGATATGTGGGACTTCCAGAGCTTTCATTCTGTGCAGATTTCAATGCATGCTGGCCTCTTCAAGGAGTAATTTTTTTTTTTTTTTTAATTCCTTCTTTCTAGTGATGGCTACACTGCAGTTACCAGCCACCAACCTGGCAAACTTGGCAAACTTACCACCGGGCACCAAACTGTACCTCACCACCAACAGCAAGAATCCTTCTGGCAAAGGAAAACTGCTTCTCATACCCCAGGGAGCCATACTGCGAGCCACAAATAATGCTAGTTAGTCTTGCAGGGAAATCTAATGAGTTAAATAATGTAATCACTGCATAATTAATGTTTGCTGTTCTTGCTATAACATGTCTTCGTACTGTGAAAGCAGTAACAGAAGGAAGTTTCTTTGTTCACAACAACACAGTACATGGAGCTTTTTAAGCCCGGATTGCCTTCTGTTTTAGATGGTACTGCTTTACATGTAGAGCTCCCAGTATCTGTCTTTCTGTGCTGAAAGTAGTGCAGTTTTTCTCAGAGCTCACAAAGCAGGATTGCCTTTCACTCTACTTTGATATATAGGGAGAGATGCCTGCGTTTTTCTAATGTAGAACTGATGCTGATTTGAATGCATTTTTGAAAGCTATTAGTAAGTCATGGAATGAGACCCTGGAAAACAAGAAACATAAACTAGCTCTGAGAAGGACAAGATGACTATATCTGGAATAAGAGAAATAAATAGATTTCAATATTGATAAAAGGTTTGATTTCAAGCTGTTGACACCAGCAGAAATAATTTGTTGTTAATAGAGTGAAAGCAAGTTTGATTCAAAACAAGTTTCATGCTTGTAGGTATTGTGAAATACCTGGAGAACAGCGTTGCTGAAATTGTCCTTAGGGCTGATACATTTTTTTTTAATAGCGTGCTCTTGCTATAGGAAATGTTTTATGAGCCTTCTCTAGAATGCTCATCTTTGAGGCTGAGATAGATGGACTGGGTGCCGAGTGTTTGCTTGCAAGTCTCCATCTCTGATGTGAGATAATCAGCTTATTATGTAAGAAGGTAAACACCAGCAGCATAGTAGCAGAGTGTCACTGAAAACATGGGTACTGTTGATGGTATTCTGGGCTGTACTCATGATGGGAGCCTCTTCGCTGAAGATTTAGATGGCAGTCCAATCTTAACAAGTAAATGCTCTCTCAAGCCTTGAAGGAGAGCAAATAGTTGTGATTTATGACAGAGCCATAGTGTTTTTCAATCTTGGTTTCCTAGTGGGAGACTACAACATGTCTGTGTCCATTCTCTTCCTCCTGGTGGCAGAGCAATATCAAAACGTTGTGATTCACCACCAGTTAGAGTCCATGATCCACTCTGTGTTAACAAAACTGCATTGGAACAGCAAGCAGAAGTAAAATTAAGAAGCTGATGGGATTTATTGTGTTTTCAGGGCTTTTGCTGTAGATTCAGTACCTGCAAAAGACTTACAGAAACACTGTATATCTGTTGTACAGCATTTTCTTTGATAGAAACTTTACAACAGCCTTGAATGAGCTTTCTATGTCCAGTAGTCCTCATTCTCCCCATGTCTCCCTTTATTCATTGCATTTGCTGAGCTTTCAGAGTGCATAGCAGCACATCTGAACTGTGCTGTACTGAGCAATTATGGTATTTATGCCTGTGTGTATTCAGCTACACAACATGCTGCAGCAAGCATCTTGCAGGCTGTTTTCAGGTACTTGTATGTACAGGAGTACTTCAGCAACTGGCGCTGTCTGGTGCAGAAGAGCAAAACCTTCTGTTCTGGTTGCAGGTCTCCAATCTGGTGGCTCTACAAATAGTGGAGGAGGAGGAACCCAAAGTACAAGCAGTAACTTGTCACAGCACCTCACCTATACATCCTACATCCTGAAGCAGACACCCCAGGTCAGTGGCACAAGCACTAGCTGGAGCAGATGGACATTTCAGGCTGCCCTCTAGCAAGCTGTGCTGTTTTCTCCTCTGTCAGGCACAACTTACTATTGGTACTTGTGCATCTCTGCCCTTTGCCTCCCCTTACTGAGTAGCACCCCTCATCGCTCGGCTCCTTGCAGACTGAGAAAGTAGCATGGAATACTTTTTCATGGCAAGCAGTGGGTGGTGTTGAGAGAGGATTAAAGAGCCTGTGGTGGCAGGGGAGCAAGGGTCTCCAAAAAAAAACAGGTGACTTGACAAAGATAATATAGAAGAGATACCTTGAATGGTAAGTTGTGGAGGAGTTGTAGGAAAGCTGTGCAGACAGGAGAACAAAGGTGTTGTTTGAGAGATGAGAAAGGAAGAGAAGTGACTAAAGAGAAGATCATGTGAAGGGATCTGTGCATGGCAGCGAGTGAATGAAGGCTTTGAAGAGGAGCAACTAAATAATAATGTGAAACAGGAGAGAAGGCAAAACCTCAGATTGTTAGGAGCGTGCCTCCAGTTCTAGCTGTGATTTCTGCATGCTGAGTTCTGAATGTGTAGCGCCTATGGCAGAAGTAAATACATTTTGAAGTGAAGAAATAACACTGTTTTGATTTCTGCTTTTTGCCTAACCCAACAGTAGTCTTTCTGATCTCGCAAGTTAAGTAGCATTTGTCACAAAGAATAAACCTGAAGAGCATGAAATGTGTTAAATTATGGTGCTGTGTAGCTGCCTCTGAGGACAGCTTTTTCACCCTTACCCTTTTCATCAGAGAATGTTCTGCACTGGGAAGGCTGTGCCCAGGTCTGGTTGCAGAATCCTCCATTGCAGTTAATGGTGCAGTGGAAAAAATGCTTTGTGGCAATGGAGTGCTTCTAGTCTTTGGAGGTGGAGATTCTCTTTCCGACCTCATGCAAAGATACCAGTACACCAAACTTCTTTAATTCCCAGTATTTGTGTAGAGAAAGAAAGTCAATAACCTTCTGCATCAAGTAGTATTTTTGCATCACAGAGCAGTTGCAGATGTTGCTGTTCTGCTTAAGCTGCAGGCCTGTAGGTGTTTTGACAGTCTCTATTGACCACTCCTAACTTGTCCTGTATTGACTTTTAACTGTGGTTTCCAAGTGCTGAACTGTGACTTATTTCTGGAGCAGGGCACGTTTCTGGTTGGTCAGCCTTCTCCTCAGAGTTCTGGGAAGCAGCTCACTCCAGCATCAGTTGTTCAGGGCAATGTAGGAGTTGGAGCATCTTCAACACAAGGACAAGCATTAAAAGTAATAACTGGACAGAAAACTGCTTTATTTACACAGGTAAGCTACAAATGATGTGTTTTTCTTGCCAGACAGCATTTTGTTGGCTAAGGGGTAGAAATCACAATTGCACAATACGAGAGCTTTATCTTTTGTAGCCCTTTGGTTTTTCTCTGTACAGTTATGATGGTGGCTGTGGTACAAAAGCATATTCAGGTGTTCTTGTGAGTGAAGGTGTTAGACAGGGCTTTGTCAGCTTTGTAGGTGTTCTCAAAGTGGGTTATGTCTGAGCTTAGGTTGCTAGCTTGTAAACATGCTCTAGGATTGTGTAATGATATGGTATTAGAGGAGTGAATATGGGCAGATGCAAAATTGTGCTAAAATATTTGAATGTAGGAATGGGTCCTCTGCTTAATCTCTTCGGTATGTTTTACCCCGGTCGTTTTCAGATTCCTCAAAGGCCCTTATTTTAAAGAAAGTACTCAGTCTCACCAGCATTCAAAAGCAGTAGTCACATTTTGTTTTGTTTTGGTTTTTTTAAGACAACAGTTTGGTGAAGTTGAATCTGAATTCAGAAATTTTGTTGCAGTTGTTCTTGTCGCAGAAAAGTTTAAAAAAAGAAAAATTCCAGTACTATAAATGCCATTTGGTTGAAAAACAAACAAAACCCCACAGGAACAGTATTGCAGCTTTTTACCTTGTGCTGAACTTCTTTTCAAAGGCTGCAGCCAGTGGACAGACATCACTGATGAAAATATCGGACGGGTCTCTGAAGTCGGTGTCTGCCTCATCCCAGCTCTCCAAACCTGGCACCACGGTGCTGAGGGTCTCAGGCGGTGTTATCACCACAGCTGCTGCTCCTGCTGTGGCCCTTCCCACTAATGGGGTGGCCCAGGTGAGACACAGTATTGCCAGTGTGCTGTAATACAGCATCTACACCTCTTAGTTTATGGGTATTCTTCTTTCCAGCACTGTTGGTTGATCTGCCTTATAATTGTGTTCCAGTGCAGAATGCAGAAACCTTTTGCAATAGTACAGATTTTTGGCCCTTTAAACTCCAAATCTGTCACTGACAGGAGAGTGTAAAATGCAGGAATCTGCCTCCAAGCAGGGCAGTGAAAGCCAGCAGTAATTAGACTGTAGGCCACTACTCTGAAATCAGACTTCCCACGGTGCTTAAAGCCTGGTCTGTCATGAACGCGTTTCACAGTGGCCAAGGTTCAGTGTCCTTTTGGTTCTGTCTGTGTTCAGGGGATGTTGCTCCTCTCTGCCCTGGGAAGTTACACAGTCCAGGAAGGAAAGGAGATGCTCTGCCCTGGAGTGAGGTCGAAAGTAAAACATTTGTGTTCCTAGGGTGAGTGGGGATACAACCGTTCAATGCAGGTTGCCCACCTGGAGGGTAGATGGAGTTTGTGAGGTGGAGAGGAGACAGCATAGAGTAAAGTGTAGCTCACAAGAAGGGTTTCCCAGAAGCTTCCTGCTTCTCCTGTGTGGGGAGCAAAGATTAACAAAGCTGCAGGTTGAGACCATGGTGCCTTGGAGAACTGAACCCAGGCATCTATCAGGGTTGTGTTGATTATATCAGTGTGTATTGCTTTAAAGGCTGAAATCTACTTTAAATGCTACTCACTGTTCTTACAGCTGTCAGTGAAGCTACAAAGATTGGAATTTTCATCCACCTCCTTTATCTCAAGCTCCCCCCCCCTCCTTGTAGTAACCACTGTCACTACCACTGATCAGCCCACCTGTCCCTGCGTGGGTCACAGGCTTGCAGACAGGTCACAGAGCAGCCAGGACACCAGGACCTGCTTGAGGACTGGATTCTGAGTGTCCAAGAGCCTTTCCAGCTCTGGTGAGCAGATGTGGAAAGGTCTCACATCTGTCTAACCAAAATAATATATGTTAATATGAGTGTCAGCCATAGTCATTCAGATTAATTTTGTTAACTGAAGAGCAGAAGAGCTGTGGTCTCTGTGAAGTTAAGGTGTTTCACTTGCCAGTAGATGGCAAAAACAGTGGCAGTGCGTAATGTGCAAATTACCTTAAAGATCAATGTTATTCCTGTCCAAACTTCTTTCAGTGAAAGAAAGTATATAGAGGATGTAGGATTTAGGTAGTGTCTAACGTTGTAACAAAGCATGACTTCTGTGTGAGTCAGTGCAGACACCTGCATTAACAGGTGAGCTCCATTTCTCTCCTTCTGAGCAGTGGGGAAATATTCCTGGGCCAGATTGCTCATCTGGAGGTTTACCTGCTTGCTGGCTCCAGGTACCATCAAAGCAGTTGTAGAAGCAGTTCTGGAGTGCATGACATAATGTTATTTATTTCTGTTCTACCCTTACCATCTTTGCATATGGACTTCTGGATAGATGCTTGTTTCTTACTTGTTTCTTAACGATGAAGCTTTTGCCTTTCTATTTCTAGATATTTCTATATTTCTATATTTCTATTTCTAGATATTCCTTCTTCTTGCTTATTGTTGAATCATCTGTGAGATGAGAAGGAACATTACTGCTTTCTTTCTTATGCAGCAAATAGATAATGCAGGTTCCAGTTCATCGTCTTCTGGAGCTCCTGCAGCAAAGACATCCGGACAGCAACACCAAGTCTGTATAAACCAGACCCAGTCTGCTTCATCAGTAGTGAGCAAGACTGCTACTTCTGCTGTTGTAAGTGTTGCTTCTCTGGTGACTACGTCAACGCCCGTGACTGGAAAAGCTGCAGTATCAGGTATTAAGCTCCATTTGTGCTTTGCCTTTATGAAGTTAGAATTGAGTGTTCTTTGGGTGTCTACAGTGTAAAAAGTAGCATGTAGAGGCATCTGCATTTGTGAATGGGTGAAACTAGAGCCACACTTTCTAAGCTGAATCTTAGTAGGGTAACTCTTCTTTTAGCCAAAGAGTTGGCATCCTAATACGGTACACTGACTGCATCTGATGCAAATAGCAGTGCAAGATGCCCATTAATATTGGAGGCAAATTTTAGCTTTCATTCCAGATCCTCTGTAGATGGTGCCTTCCATGTGTTCAAGGATATAGCGTACCATGATATTGAAACTGTCAGGGATCAGAGATGCTGCAGTCTCAATTCAGGTTGTGAAAGTGAACCTCCACGGAAGCTGAAGGAGCTGCTTAAGCAAAACTTGGCTCTGAGGCTTTGCATCTGCTCTGTTTGTCTTGGAGAGAGTTTTTGATTAAACGGGGAAGCGAATATTTTAAAGTAAAAAAAATCTGTAGAGTCCAGTGAGGTAGATCTGAGCTGGAATGTGTCAAATTAATGAAGATAAGGCAATAAAGATGGACTGCCTGTACGTAGGGTGTTGTTTTCCTTTAGTTTTATTGTCTTGCAGTATCTTCTGCATTATGGAGAGCAAATATAGCAGATTTAATTTGATCATCATGAGTTAAAATCAGAACATTTTATTTTACCTTCTGATTTACCTCCTGGAGTGTTATGTTCCTTCAAAGTTGCTTCTTACTGAGGGGGAAGATTACAAATAGTAAAAAAGGGAGAGGCTCTTCACGTCGCTTGCTCAGTGTGACAGTGTCTTTGAAGCAGCCCTTCTCATTTCCTGTGCACACAGACTTCCAAACTCATCCTTCCATCACTCTGTGTTTTCCACAGCTCGGAAATAAATAACAGAAGCTGCAATTCTGCAACAAGCAGTTGAACTTTTTCCTTTTTCCAAACAAAGTAGAAAGGCTTTTTGTTGGAAATGTGCCACTTTAAATAGCTTTCAGATTAAAGCTGCTGTATCGGTCCAAGAGTGTATCATCTGGATTCCCATCTGTCAGAGGCAGAAGAAAAGGTTTTGCCAAAATGCATAGCATTATAGATTTCATTCTAAAAACGTAGGCTTGTATTTAAGTGAGTCTTAGGATGGACTGTGACGTTTACAACTGAATTGGCAGTGCTAGGTTAGCCCGGTTCAAAATCTCAACTATGTGTCTTTCAAAACCAAGCGATGTCTTCACCATCCCTTGCATGTCTGCTGACTGGAATGCAGTTACACTTAAGCAGTGGTGAGATATTAAAAGGGGAATAGAAACTTTCTTGAAACAATTTATGAGTATAAATTACTATCATGAAATGTGGTGTTCACAATTTTCTAAAATAAAAGCTTGTTAAATGCCCATAATCCGGATAGAAGTTTAATTAATCAGAACATTAAATAAAATTGTACAGAAAATAGCTAGTTTACTAGTGGAAACGATGGATTTAGGCCCATACACAATGGTGGTGTGGAGGAGAGAGCTAGGGAGCAGGAGGTGAGTGCTCTTCACTCATTGCCCTATGGCACAGTCTGCAGCTGTGCTGGTTTCCACCAAGGTGATGGGATGCTGGTGATACCAGAATGTCCTGCTTGTTGTTTTAGCCCTGGCTAAAATCAGTGCTTTATTCACTCCTCCCCTTGATACGCTTCATAGCTCGATCATCTGTCTGTTCAGATAGATGTCTTTGCTATGGGCACTGAATACATGGGACACTCAGTTCAGGTATGTTCTTCATCAGGCCCTCACAGGCTTGGGTTCATCATTTCATGGAAGTGTGGTTGATTGTGCTTCACTAACTGCAGATGAACTGCAGAGGTGTGTGTGGCACTGGCAAAGCACAGCAAGGGGCTGAGTACAGCAGAGCTGTTGGTCACTGGCTCACCAAACACTCGAGCACAAGGAAAGGAGAGGAGAGCTGCAAGTCATGCTCTAATTTTGTCTTGCTCTGATAAGAGTGTTCAGCTCTGTGCTGAGCCTGCTTCATTCAAAAAGTTTGTGTTACATCAGCATTTGTTTAAGATTCATTCAGTAATGAGGAAACTGCCCTCACAGATATTGGTGCTGTGCAGCATATAAGGCAACCCAGCGCTTCAGCAGTCATCCATGTCAGCAGAAATTCATCAGACAGACAGTTCACTGAACTGTGGCTTATTAATTGAGGGCCATCCTAGTTCAGGCAGGAAGGGAGAGAAATAACTGGAGATAAACAAAATGGTGTGTTTTATTTAACATTTTGTCTTCCATTCTTCTTACAGGGTTGCTAAAAATCCACTCAAATCAGTCTAGTCCACAGCAGGCTGTTCTGACAGTTCCCAGCCAGCTTAAACAGCTCGGTGTTAACACAGCTTCTGGAGGTGTTCAGACAATACTCATGCCTATGAACAAAGGTAAAGGGCAGAGGAGGATGACAGATGGTGTTTGAAAATCCCCTTTGACACAGAGTAGCTCTTGGTCACTGTTGGCCAAAGTGGTCCAAGGTTACAGATAGAAGAAAACGTAGCAAGGAGGCTCATCCCTAAAATTTGCATTGCAAATATTTTGTTGATTCTCAATATGGTTTTTTGTCAAAGCTTCCTTTTTTGTCCTAACTGTTTCCTGTTCCTCTCCAGTGATACAGTCACTTTCTACCAGCAAAGTTTCAGCTGTGACAGCTGTCACATCAGCAAGTACGGCTGTCTCTAGTCCCTCTGTGGCATCCATCACTAAAGGTAACACAGAGTTTCTCAGTAAGATAAGCAGTGGAAATATTCACTGCTGCTTTGTGCGGGTGGCCTGGCTCTGAAAGCAGACCCTGTGACTGGGGTTTCTTGTATTTCTGTTGCTAGCAGGGTTTAAATGAAGTGTTAAATGGCATCTGGGGGCTGGGAAATTAACAGTTTCTTCCTCCTTGACAAAACCCATAGCGTAGGCAAATACAGGGAGGAAAGACAATGTTCTGTAAGGCTACTGTGAGCGCAGCAAACATCCATTCTTTCAATCCATTGCTGCAGAAATGCACTGAGCAAACACGTACTTTATTCTGAGGACAGCAGTGACTGTGATGGTGACTGTGCTCAAACTCACTGGAGAATGTAAACAGCAGTGCTATTTCTGCCCCGTGCCAATGCATTAGGCTGAGTGGACAGCCACATCCATGTCCACACACCCGCAGAACGTTCCAGGATTGTGCATTGCCAGAGCTGAAAGTCCTCTTATTGCAGAACTGTTGTGTGTCTGTCCCATCCCAGGTGAATACCAGGCTGTCTGGCTGTTGTGAGCTGAACATCTCTCTCCTGCTGCTCCTGAGTTCTGTTGTAGATGTGAGAAAATTCACTGGTGCCACTTCTTGCTATAATCATTAGTAGGTTTCTGTCAGCTGTTTGCTTACCAGAAGACAGGCATACATCTGTAAGCAGTTCATTCAGGCAGTCGTGTGCAAAACATCAGTGACTTATTGTGCACTTACATGTATTCTGAAAGGGATGAGATAAGAAAACGTTGAGATTCGGAGGGGGAGCTGGTCCTGCTGTGGTGGTTTTCTGTTAGCACAGCTGAAGGGTGTATATTCTTCATGTGTAGCAAGTAGAATGCAAACAAGAAATGAGGTGATGTTACTTAATGTAAGACATCTAGTATTATTGAGTCTCGCTCAACACACTGGTTAAGGTGATGGCTGCTTTTGTCTTCTGAAACGTGTTCTGTTTCTTTGAAGTTAAGATGGAGCCTGATTCAACGGGACAGAACTGCACTTCTGTGGGTACTCAGGAAGGGCAAGCAGCAGTGAAAACAGAAGAGAATTCAGAACTTGGGAACTACGTTATCAAGTAATTGTTTGTCTGCATGGATTTCTGATCCTAGAAATTCCAGGGGAAATGGAGGTGTCCCTAGGAATTTGTGCAGCATTGTTAGAAGCTTGACACAAACATGAAATCTTCTGTCACGTGTGCTGTTGTGTCGGTACTAATCCTGTTGGCCAGCATTTGTTTCAGAGAGTTGAAATAATTTCTTTGTTAGTGGATTTGTATTCAGGGCTTCTGGAAAGGAAAAAAAATACAATTAAAGATTTGCTGTTCTTTTGGGGTTTGCTAAATCTCAAGCTGCTAAACCTCCTTTATCATCCTCTGCTTATACAATTCCCATTGCTGTTCTGTGCTCTTACTGAGGTCAAACTGTGCCCAGTAAAATGCAGATTAACGAGGGAGCAGCTGAAATAAGTAGCGCGTCTCTCTGCTTGCTGCTCTAGTCTTGATAAGGTCCCATATTTCTGTAATTACCCAGTGTGACAGTTGCCTCGGTTCAGAGTTGGAATTGGATAAATATAATAGGAGTGTTTTGTTTCACTGGTGAAATCCAATGCCGTATTTGTGGAAGAACTCCTGAGTGGTCTTTCAGTACAAAGCAGCATCCCATGCACTGTCCCACATTCCTCCTGCGACAGCTTGTACTAACCACTGCTGCTTATCCCTCAAAATGGTGTTGCATATTACAAGATGCAGGGATTTCTTCCAAGCCTGCCCAAAAAAGGCTGTCTTAAGTTTCTTCAGCTTGACAAATGAAGCTGCAGGTGTGGATGCTTAAGAAAGAGGAAGGGCTGCTTAAAATACCCTCTTCAAACATAAGTTTACCCCCACATTAGCACTGTTCAGTGCCTTGGGGCCACAGACTAGCAGTGATTTTGGAACATTTTGCGTGTGTTTCCTTACTTCCAACAGTATTCTTCATTGTGAGTCTCTTTATCCCTTGCAGCATAGAATACTTGGAGAACACCCAGCAGCTTTTAACAGCCATAGTGAAGAAGGTTCCATTAATTGCTGAAAAAAGTAAGTGGTGGATGAGAAGGCTTTGCTTTTTATTTTCAGAGGGGTTTTTTTTATTGCCAGGGTTTCAGAAATACTTTCAAATATGGCAATAGCTCAAAATTAAACACTGGAATTTATTTATTGTACGGTTTTTCTTTGTTTTAACAAAAGGTGGTAGCTTACACTGAAACATTCAGTGTTTATAACTGCATTCCTCTTCCTCACGTACGTAACTGAGAGGCACCTTCTTTCCTGGTAACTAATGCACTTTGACCAGTGTTCCTGGACCCCAGGTATGCAGACCCTCTCAAGATGAGTGCAGTCAGCAAAGCAGAAGCAGGCAGTGCAGTGTGGCTTTCATTACAGGGGATTTGAACCCCATCCCTTTCTGCTTGCCATGAAATGTTTTAAATGTTTTGTGCTTATTGTAAATTGTTGGCAAATAGGTAGCTGTGTATTTTCCAATGGAACAGAGTCTGACCAATAAGACAGACTTACAGTTCTATATGGTTACATCTTGGGGGGAGTGGAAAAGAAGCTTAACCTGCCCATAGCCAGAGATGTCTGTGTATCCTGACCAAGAATTATGCTGTTTGTACATCCAGAGAACTGTGTGTGCTGCACACATCTGTGCTGGTCTCAGAGCAGCATTTGTGAGCTAGTCCTTGGTCCTGAAAGCAGAGTCATGCTCCTTCTTGCCACTAAACAGCATCAAAAGTGGAACTTATTTTACTGAACTTCTAAAACCTAATTCTGTTTTTGGTTTTGTGTTTTTTAGGTGAAGATGTAAGCTCTTACTGTGCTGGTTCAGTGGAACAGTATTACAGCTGGAATATTGGGAAGAGGAGGGCAGCCGAGGTAATCCTCTTCTCTGCTGTTTTGTAAGCAGTCATTAGTGAAATGGGAGGGATTTCTGAATTACAGAACCTTCCATATTGCTGGCTGTCCTTGTCTCTGAAGCAGTTTGTTGCATTTGAGGTGGATGCACTCCTTACTGATCCTTGGGTAGTGCTCCAGTTTGTTGTTCAGTGCCTTCCTCAGGCAGAAGGGACTCTGAAGGTCATCTTCCAGTTAATTCAAAGTTAGATGTTTCTGAAATATTTAAAAAAACAGAGTTTTTGAAAATTATTGTGTTGCTGCTTTATCCTCGTCATTCCTTCGTGGCATGTTATGGGCATGGGAGTTCTCCACAATGTAATTTGTCCACCTTTTTGTGAGACTGTGGCTGCTTTCCATCAGAAGAGAATTTGAGAGTACTGGTACTGAAATGCTTTGTCACAGATTGTTCAACAGCAGTAAATAGTTAATCTGGATCCGTCTGTATTCTGGTTATGTTTCCTCCTGTTTTGTAGTAGTTTTATGCTTTTGCTGTGGTAAGCAGCAAAGGTGGTAAGACTGGTAAGACCATCTGCTGTAACAAACATAAGTAAACAAAGTTAAACCAAAATTTTGGGAAGCGTTGTTTGCTCTATTGGATTGCTTTCATTATGCATCTTGAAATGTTATTTAGGAGAGGAGGCAATTCAAGTCAAGGCAAGTTTGTCTGGGCCCCAGTAAATGTATGTCACTCTTCCTTGGGGTTTTGGTTGGATGAGAAAGAGGTTTCAATGACCTGCCCAGAACTGGCAAAGATTAGGACAGCCTCTTGCATTTGTTTTTGATCTTATCACCCTTACTTTCGAGAAAGTCATGTTGTAGGTCATAATCCAGCCTGAAACGTTTCAGCTAGTTTAAGTTTCCCCTTGGTTTGTCATAGTGGCAACGAGCAATGACTGTGAGAAAGATCCTGCAGGAAATCATAGAGAAGCACCCCAGATTTCACAGCATTACACCCCTGAAGACAAAGCATGTGGTGCAGTGGTGTCGATGCCATGGCTACACTCCTCCTGACCCCGAGACCTTGCGGAACGACGAGGACTCCATTGAAGATGTGCTGACACAGATAGACAGCGAGCCAGGTGAGCATGCAGGCACAGAGAACTCCTTTTGCCAGAGGCACTGCTGGTTAAATTGCCTCAAGAATGGCTGTGCTCACCTACAGGCTGCCTTTTCAGGAGAAGAGATTTCTTGCTTTGAGTTTGATTTTTGTTGTTTCTTATTTTGTGTTTTTTGGGCTTTTTTTAATTCACTCTGGATAACGTAAGTTGCAGGCTGAAATGGCGAGTATGTAAGTGAAGCTGTCCCTACCAAACCTTGTGTTCTGTAGAGCCTTTTCTGGGTTTCACTGTGCTTTGGGTGCCCTTTGAGGCCCATTGTGCAGAAAAACATTAAGAGGGATGATTCCAGACCTGCAGTGTGATCTTTTGCACGTTATTGGCAAGCGGCCTCTGTTCAAAGTGTGCAAACTGTGTAGTAGCTTCAGGTACAAAAGATTGTCTGACAGCAGCAGTGTGAAGCACAGTGGGGGTTAGTCTGACTCCAGAAGTGCGGTGAATTGGGCTGTGTGAAGCTTCACATGGTGCCACTACAGCCTGTATAGCTCTATAGCTACAGCTCTACAGCTCTGGGATCTCAGAACTCCGTTGCAGTGTGAGTGAAACATACGTCTGTAGTTTCAGCCATTCCCTCAGTAAAGCTTCATTGTTTCACCTGCAGGCAATCCCTTTCCCAAAGCTGGGTGTTCTTAACCTTCTGTAATTTCATTGGGAATCTGTCTTCTAACTTACCTTCAAACAAAAATGCATATATAGGACTGTCACAGTGTAAAAAGGTGTAGGCACCGCATAGCACTACAAGTCCAGTTCTCTGAGCAGGTTGAAGAGCATCAGACTGTCTGGACAGCTGTCAGAAAGCTTCTTTGAGAATGTTTTGGGGGTTGTGTTGTTTGAAGTGCAGCCTTTATTGGTGTGGGGCAGATGGGAGGGAGCACCGAGAGGGGAATGAGGGCATAATGAGAAAGTTCTCAATGGCAGTTTGCTTTTTGTTTCATCCGTATGTTTGACAGGAATTACAAAAAAACTCTTAATTACCAGAATTTCTTATCATACTTTGCATGTGCATCTGTTTGTAAGCAGCTTTCTGTAATGTATCATTTGTCTAATTGATGGCTTCTTTTTCAGAATACCCTTCATCTTACAGCAGTGGTGAGGATCTGTGCCGAAAACTAGAGGAACTGCAGCAGTTCCTGAAACAAGAACCCGAGCATGAAGAGGAAGTGGATGTTCTCAACTTCAGTGAGCCTTTGAAAATAAACATTAAAAAAGAAAAGGAGGAGAAACAAGAGGAGATGAAGTTCTATTTGGCTTCCTTGCCTGCATCAGAGTTCGTGAGAGACACAGCAGAGAAGGTAATAAGTGAATCCTAAAGCTAATAAGGAACTGCTGCTCAACTAGTTGTGGCCCTGCATTTATTATTTAGTTGGCTTGCATTCATTTGTAGGGGGGCCTCTGGATCCTTTATCAAAGCTTTGTTAAATCTGACTGGCTTCCAACACTGCTGATCAGTGCTGGCAGAAGTGAAGCGTGCTGGTTGGGAGATCACTTCAGAGTAGCCATGCTGCAAGGCTTAGTGCTGGAAAGGCGAGCCTGGGAGCAAGAGGTAATGAGGGAAGAGGTGCACTGGCATAGAATACCTCCTGGCCCACCTTGTGAAATCTTTTGGCTTGAACCCCTGCTGCTCCTAGGAAAGGGTGCATAAAGATCACAGCAAAATTCTCTACAGCTCAATTTTCCTCCCCACTTCCCTCATTCAAATTAGAGCAAAAGAGGGAGAGGGTGGCCTTATCTCACAGCAGGAAGCGAAGGGGGAAGGTGGTTTACGTAGCTTGTAGGAAGGATTGGTCTCTGCTGGGAGATGGGGAGAATTTCCTTGCAGCAACTGTGGAGAAAAAAGAAAACTCTCTACCTCAGATGCTGACACCAAGGGACAAAGCCTTGATTAGCAGAGTGCCCATCATGTAGGCAAAAAGGTGTCATGGGTGCAGGCATGCTGGGAGCCCAGCTGGGCAGTGAGGCTCAGTGGTGGAACTCTTCTGATGCACAACTGTTATTTTGCCAGGAGTACTGTTTAGAGCTGTTACAGTTGTCATAATTATGTATGGGAAAGCTTATGAATACATGGACTGAATATATGTACAATTTTAAAGTGGAACATTCGTTAGCAGTCCAGAAGTGCCAATATAACTGATATTCTGTGTGGATTTCCTGCAGCAAATGTAAAAATCTTCTGTTTTTCTTGTGTTTGAGAAGCATTTTTTGCATGCTGCACTAGTGGTCAAGCTTCACTTTCTCCAGACTTACTTTTTTTTGTTTTTTTAATTAAATGAGATGATACTACTGGAAAGCAGTGGGAAGCCTGCTTGCTTGGGCTTCAAATACCCTGTATCATAGATTGCTTCTGTTATGTCGTTGTCATCTGTTCTGTACCAAAATGTGAGTTGTGTTATTTCATGTGATCTCTTTTTTTCTTCTGTCTCACAGATAGGAATTTCCTTTCAGCCTGCTGAGGTACAAAGGAATGTTTATGCATCAGTAATAGAAGATATGATTTTAAAGGTAAGAAGTTACTTCACAATGACATTTTTGTAGGACTGTGTTAACCCAGCAGTGTAGGAAGAAAAATGGACTGTCCAAAGTGATATGCAGAAGGGATGCAGAGTCTGATGTCAGTGTGTGTGCCATGTATAGAAAGATATTAGCTGGACAAAGAGAATTGTGTATTTCTGTGTATGTGTTTCCAGATTCCTAACTGATCTGTTGACTTGGACACAAGATAGTGATTTGCAGATTCTGACCTCCAGTAAGATACTGGCTTCTGTTTAACTTTGGAAGTATCTCTTTATTCGTCCTACCTTCCAGAACTGTAAGGGGAAAAATCTGCCAACGTTATTTAAGACTTGATTATTTTATAAGAGGATCAGCTGTTTTTTCCTAAATACTGTTGAGTTGGTTTTTTTTTGCCTGTGTTGTTTCTACTGGGAGACCACTGAAGGCCTGCAGTCGGCAGCAATTCTCCCTTGTATGAGAAGCCTGTCATGCTCAATTTTAGAAAAACGTTCTGTTCAAAGTTTTGGTGAGAAACAGTCTCTGGAGTTAGAGTTCCCAGGGTTGGGCTGAAGGCTAACGCAGATTATTTTTAGAAGTGCTCCGTTGTATTTCAAGCCTAAGATGACTTTTGATGTTTATGCAGACTGTAGCTTATCAGCAGATTGGTTTTCTAAAAGCTAAATGATTCTGAGCTACCTTGTATGTATGTATGTATGTATGCACACTTCCACTCGCGCTGTCTCTTCCTACAGTTGAAGTCAGTTATGGATATATCTGGGTTTAAACACAGCTTTAGCCATCAGAATGCTCCAGTATGATTGTTGGGTTATACTCCAGCTTTTCTGTGTGAAAAATCCCAGAAACTTCTGCTTTGGTCTTGAGAGAGGCTCAGAAAAGCCAGTAGCCCCAGCTAACGTTTCCTGAGCCAAGCATGCAGTGCATACATTTGCTGTGCGTCTGCAATCCAGGGTGCGAGGTTCCCGTGTAAGTGCCTGAAGCAAACCTGGTGGGCAAAGGGAAGAGCTAACGAGAGGATGCCAAGTCCCAGGAGAAGATCTGCCATCCGTGTGTGGAGCTGTGGTGTGTGAATGGCCTTTGGAATGCAGAGCAGATGTGGCCTTGCTCCATCCTGCTGTGTTCAGGTGCCCTGGGGGTCCACAGAGAAACCAGGCTGGGCAGCCGAGTCACGAAGTGCGTGTGGCAATAGGCTGCTTTCTGTTGAGTACAGACCCAGCCTTAGTGCTGTGCTAATGAAAGCCGCCTGGCTGTCAAGCAGGACTGAAGCGAGCCACATCTTTAGATGTCTGGTTATGCTGATGCAAAAAGCACGTTGCTTTCTTCTTTGCCTAAGATGTCGCCTTTTGTCACAGGCCACTGAACAGCTGATGAGCGACATTCTGCGGCAGGCACTGGCAGTGGCTTACCAGACAGCCCCTCACAACAGGTACAGCACTTATGCCAGCACTAAACGTGGAGCTGCGTGAGGAAGTGGGTCAGATTTTGTATGGCTCAGACCATGTGAGCGAGGGATTTCCATGCTGTGGGACCGTGTGTGAGCTGTGTTCTGGGAAGATGCAGGCCTTAGGAGGGGCTTGGCTGTCATCAAGTTCCGTAGTAGCAAAGGAGTAGACATTAAAAACTGAGGCAGGATTCTCTGGTATTGCCCCGCTCAGAGGCAGATAACTTGTTTTAGCTGAGCTGTAATGGAAGGACAGTCCCTCATCCAGTTGAGTTACCATGAACTTTCCCGTGGCCTGCTAGGACTTTAACAACCCAGATACTGTTGATCTTGGTGAAAAGCACTCTAGAGTGTATTTCATGGATACGCTCTTCTATGGCTCAGATACTGAGTGATTTTTATAGTAACCATTGGATTGCATTTGATTCATGTTTGGCAACATGAAATTAGAAGAATTAGGTCAGTGAGAAAGTGCTTAGTTTAACTATCACCTCTATAGAATATCAAAACTTATTAATATGTGCTTCAATATATATAAGATGTAAATTGGCACTTCATTTTGCTGTGCCAGTGCCCAAGATGTTCCCACAGCCACTTGGGAGCGGTTCTTCTGTGCCGTGAGATTTTAATGCCTCGTTTTGGTCTGTTCCTCTGGCACCTGATTTTTTTTTATCCTGTTTCTGATTTGCATTTTTTTCTTTCCCATTGGTAAACTTAGTGACTTGCTGCTTTATGTCTTGGTGTTACAAAAAAATTGTGATGCATTCCCTGCAGGACTCCAAGAGAGATCACAGTGATGAATATTCACAAAGCCATCTGTAATATTCCCTTTCTTGACTTCCTCACAAACAAACACATGAAGATACTAAATGAGGAGCAATGAAACAGCACAGAAGATGCTACGGGAAAAATGAATTTATGGCTGAAGCTGGGATGACAAATCCAGTAGGACACTTGTATTCTTTATAGCATCGGGCTACTATCTTTTACCTCCAATTAAAGATGCACCTTAATGCAACAAAGTGATGCTCTGTTCCAAATCAAGTTGTTAAATGTCAGTGTTTACTTGGTAAGTGTATGTTCAGTGGCTGAACAAACACTGTCAGTTTGCATCAAGTTGCTAGCTATGAGAGGCTCCACAGTCTCTGACAAGAGCTGTACTGATGAGATTAATTTTTTTTTTTTTTTTTTTACAAAAGAAATTATGCTTTTTAATGCATACTGCATGCCAGTTGGTTCCCCATGCAGTGGGCAGAACAGTTGCTATGTCACTTGGAATGTGAGAGAATTCCAGGTCAGCTTTTAAAGGTGGGTCATTTGAGCAAGTGGATGGGTTGGTTGCTTAGGGTCGAGGTGGGGGAGCAGAAGGCTGATGGTCCCACCAAGTTCTGCCAGTCCTCCTTGAGCATCATGTGACTGGAATACAGCTGGGTGGGCTGCTTGTCTGCTTATTCAGCTGGGTGCAACCCAAGCAGGTAACACCTGGCCTCTTCAGAGGAGGTTTCCCATCTGATGTTCTCAGTCACCTCAGAGAGGAAGGTGGACTGGCACGTGCTCAGTCAATATGAATGAACCATGGTCAGACTTGGTAAGATGGGTCTGGCTGCTTCTGCGTGAGAAAGGTGAAGAGTGTGTACAGTATTCAGTGTCTGTGAGCTTGGACTGGCTGAAACCTTTGTTTGCCCAGCGAGGGCCTCCCCAGGCTGCTGTGAATTTTGGAAGGCATGTGCCCAGCTTAGCCTTGCTGTTCTGACAGCATTCACTAAGAGCCAGGTTCTCAGGTGTGACTTTGACTGAAGCTCTGAATTCACAGAAGCCTGATGAGATCAAAGAAATCAGAGGCTTATTGCTTGTGGGGACCTCCTCTGATAGCCCGACTGCAAGGAAGTTCTGCTGCTCGTGCTAGGACTTCTGTCTCAGGAATGTCACTGCTGCAGGAGACGTGTCTGCAGGCTGGCTTGTGACGCCTTTCTCAAGGAAGCTTTGATGACAGCACCCAGACTGCTCTCCCCACTGCCCCTGTGTCCAGCACCAGGGTGCTTGCTCATATGTCAGTAATCCATTGCAAGTTGGTGGGACTCCTGTTGGACCATCATGCTCTCAGATGCGTGAGGCAGCACAGTCAGGTGGGTGGAGCACGGGTCGAGCAGCCTGAGCCTCCAGTGCTCTGATCTCAGCTGGGTCACTGGTCTGCTGCATGGCCTTTGATTTAATCACTCCGTGCCTCAGTTTCCCCATCTCTGAGCATGGGGAGCAGGATAACCTACCTCACAGGGATGTACTGAGGCCTCTCACTCCTGTTGGTGCTGTGCTTTGACAGCACAAAGCCTTTTATAAACATTAAACTGCAGTTATCTTTCCTGGCCTGGAGTGGGAACGTAAATCTTCAAGATGTTACCTTTTGGTGCTTTTTTGGGGCTAGAAGACTTGGTAATGCCAGCTGTGTGCAGGGACTTTGGAAGATGGGTGATGATCTCAGGCTGCCAAGGAGAGCTGACGGCTGGGTGCAGTTCTCGATCTGCAGGTGCTGTGTACCTCAGATGAGATGCTGCGTGTTTTCTCCAACCTGGATAAAGCCAAGGTCTGCAGACAGGCCCCTTCCTAGTTCATTGAGAGCTGGTGGGGCAGTCGAGTCTGTTTGAATACAAGTGGCAGAGCCTGGCCCTTGGATCTAGGAAACTGATGGATGAAATCCAAGGAGCGTTCAAAGAAGGATTTGGGTTCCCCTGGAAATGCTATTTTTGGATGCTCTGGATTCAGAGGACAATCCTGGCTTGTTGGGGTGAGCCCAGCACAGGAAGTGCACAGCTTAGCCCTGATGTTGGCTTTTTGCAGGGATCAGTGTGAAGAGGCTGAGCGGTGGTGATTATATCTGAGCTGCGCAGGGGGAGGTGCAGGGAGCTGGGGCTGCTGGCCCTGTGCTGTTTGTAGGATGTGAGCTCCAAGTCCGTGCTGCGCCCAGCCTCCTTGGATACAACTTTTACAAAAGGGTGTTTTGGAGCTATCTGTCACTATTGCTGTGATGGGGTGTGTAGGAAACGGCCTTTGGGCAAATGCAGCCATGCTAAGATCTGCTGCAGTGACGCACGCGTTCCCAGCCCCCGGCTCCTGTGGGCTTTGCTCTGAGATTTCAGTGCCCAGAGCAGTGCTTGAGAAGCATCAGTGTGGGCATCTGTTTGCAAATGGTGGTGTCCTCGCCCATGTCCTGCTGTTCTGCATAGAACAGCATCAGTGTGGGAGGCGTGGGGCAGCCCTGCAGCAGAGTGCTGCTGCCGCAGATTGCTGCTGAGGCGTTTCGGAGCAACCACGGGCTATTCTGCTGCATTAATAATAGATAGCATTTGCTGAAGAGAAATAAAATCTGTTAGAAGATAACACATTTGTCGTAGTGCTTTGGATGTAGGAGATGTTTGCAGTATGTCTTTTGGAAAGCGGTGGGAGGAAAATCTTGTCAGCGAGAAGTGCCTGTGCGAATGGCTGGGGATGGGGGCACAGGTGAGAGAACTCTCTACAAACGTGGCCCCTCTGTAATGCTGGGTGTTTGAAGCCTTCATGTTATCTGTATTATATTGTATAATTGTGTAAGATACATATGTTTACAATAAATTCTTTTATTAGCTGTGATGGGTTTGTCTGACTGCCACCTGTCACTCCAACTAGGTTGCTCCAGGCCCACAGAATAAGGGGTTTTGTAATGCCCTGCCCTTATATTCATAAGCATATCTGCAGCAAAAGGGCAGCTTTGTGAAGGTGTGGTGATGATGGTGAGCTCTACCCACTGGCACACACTTCTCCTGCTTTCCCTGTGCTCCCTTATTAGCCATCCCTTCTGGCAAGAAGGGCCTCCGCCAACAGCTGACAGCTGGCTCCAATCCGTGGGCATATCTGTGTCCTGCTCTGCTCCTTCCCTGTTAGCAAGGGCCTGGAAGCATCAGGCTGAGCTGGAACGTGAGCCTGGGAGACACTGGGCCATCTGCCGAAGGAGATGAAGTCCTTTGCACTCAGAGGGTCCCTGCGTGCTGCCTTGGTGATGTGCTGTGCTGACTGCACTGAGAGCACAGCTCTGCGCTGAACAGCTGCAGCCTTCTGCCGTGCACCAGGCTGCTCCTTGGCATTGTATGGTGCTCTGAGGGCCAGAAAAGGGGCAACTCAGTATGAATAAGGCAGAGGTAGGAAGCTTGCAGCTTCCAGGAAATTTGTGTAAGAGAAATGCACAGCTTTATGAGGGGAAATGTGGAGTGGGATCAGAGGAGGGCTACAAAGGTGCTCTGAGGGCTGGAGCACCTCTCCTATGAAGAAGGGCTGAGGGAGCTGTGCTTGTTCAGCTTGGAGAAGAGAAGGCTCTGGGAGACCTCATTGCAGCCTTCTCTTGTTTAAAAGGAGCTTATAACCAAGAACTGACTTTTTTTCAGAGGCTGATAGTGACAGGACAAGGGGCGATGGCTTTAAACTAAAAGAGGGGAAACTTAGGTTGGGTGTTAGGAAGACATTTTTTACTCAGAGTGGGAAGGTGCTGCTGGCACTGCTGCACAGAGCTGTGGCTGCCCCATACCTCGAGGAGCTCAAGGCCAGCCTTGGTTAGGACCCTGTGCAGCCTGAGCTGGGGTGAGTAGTGGGAGATGGAACTGGATGATGTCTGAGGTCCTCCAACCTAAGCTGTTCTATGTCACACACAGGCCAGTCATCAGTGTGCTGCCGTGACCTTTCCAAGCTCAGGCAATGAGTGTTGTTCTGAGGCACAGGGCATAGTAGAGCTTCACCCCAGCACACAGCCCTGCAGGAGTTCTGACCTCACAGTACCAGTCCCTGCACAGCAGCATGAAACCAGAAAGCATGGTCCAGAGGTGGTAAGTTACAGAGCTCCAGGCATGAAACTTCCCTTTTGAAGAACATCTCTCCATGCATCAGAAAACCAACCATTGCCTGAAGCGTAACTCACAGTTGAAAAACTCTGCTGGTTGTGGATATGAACCCAGAGCAGTTGGGAAGGCAAACAGCAGTGTGAGAGGGGTGCTGGGAGGTGCCAAGGGCCATGGAAGTGCTGCAGGTGGGGGGATGCAGGGCCAGGCTGTCCTGCCGAGGCTGAGTGCTCATGTCTTACAGTGTAAAGAATGGGAAAGAGCCAGTAGCCAAAATACGTCTTAATTTATTAAATTAAATCCAATCCCTTTGATAAAATACAAGCTCATTATATTCTCAGTTTGTTTACAACCAGGTTGATGTTTTTAGAAATAGGGTGAATTAACAAGACAGACGGGACAGGCAATGCTTTTTTTTTCTTTTTTTTTTAAAATTCCTTTTTCTGATAATAAAATCCAGGATTGAAATGAACCAAAATTGAACAAAACAGTTAAAAACATTACAAAGAGATTAAGCAGATTCATTTCTTCTTAGAAACGCGTGCCATGCAAAACCTTTAGCAGAGTTTGAATGCTTTGAGTGCAACTTCCTGAAAAATGAGCCTCCTGAAAAATGTTTTTGGCAAGCACTGCTGTACATCCTGGGGCCCAAAAACAAGGGCTTGAGGCCAACATCAACCTCCCCCCTCCCCCCCCCCCCCCCCCCCCCCCCCCCCGTCCAATGCTGCCAGGAACACCAGATTCTCACCTAATGCACTGAGAAGATGCTTTCTGCATGAATCCTGTGTAACATCCACACTCTGGTGCTTCCAGCACTCTTCTTATCAGCTACCAGCACCAGTTGCATGTTTGCAGAGTCCTCAGAGCTCATTAAGTCTGCCATTGGCCTCAGCTGGGGGAAGGTGAAGAGAGAATCCCTATAATGAGCCCTGTGGTCACAGATTAATGCGCCTTTTCAGCATTTGGTCGGAGGCATTGCCTTTCATTTTAGCCAACGTATTGGTATCTTTCAAATGTAGAAAGGAAAAGTTTTGCATCCTTTTCTCCAAAATAATTGGTAGAAACAGGAAATGAGGAGCAGACTCATCGTATTGCAATGAGTCTCTGAGATAGCAACTGTAAAACCATGGGGGTCTGGGTGAGCAGAGGCTAAAAAGGATGGTTTCTTAAAACACACCTCCACCATCTCAGCAAAAGCTAAATCCGCACCGACCTAAAAAATGAGCTTCAGAGTAATGCCACTGAAAATGGCCTATCTTAGCAATGAGGGATGTCACACATTCTATGCTAACGTTTTTCTTTAAGAAGAGTTTCTAAGTAACATTCACTTTTGGTTGCTCCTAACATTAACATCACCAATTGGCAGGCAGAAACGTAGGCATTTCAAGGCAAAACTTTCTACCTTGCATATGCAAAGAGTTAACATTTATTAAAAGTAGAAGCACGTCCTTTTCCTTAAAGGGTCACAAACTGCTTTAGGTAAAATCCAGGTGCAATATTTACATCCAACCCACAAGTATTGTACACCCAGAAGCTCGGTGTGCGTTGACTGCTCTGCACACACAGCTGCCCTGCATGCACAGCCCCCCAGCACAGCCAATGCGGAGCTGCCGGCGGCTCCAGCAACCCCATGGGTTCGGAGCAGCCCTCCTTGTGCTGCGGCCTGGTGCTGAGATGTGTGCAGGAGGCAGCTCTACAAGCTGAGAAGTCAGGCAGGCGCTCCCTGCCCCGCGCTGCTCTGCGGTTTGGTTTTAGTTCTCCCTCCCGCTGCACACAGCAGAGCAGAGGGGTGCTGCGTGCCTCGCTGGCTGCGCTGCCCTGTCAGCCTCCCAGCGTGCCGCCGGCTGGCACGGCGAGGAACCCGCTCCCTAAGGAACTGGGTCACGCCTTGCCGGCTCTGAATGGAGCGCTTTGCAGTCAGTGCACTCACAGGAGGAGAGCTGCCCATCCCCAGTCGCTGGAGCCGCTCCTGCTGATCCCAGCGCTCCCGTGAGAAGTGCATAGTGACGCATCCAGTCGGAAGCACCGCTGTGCCGCTGCCTGGTGCGAGGAAGGCCCTGCGTCACACGTTGAGGATCCGCGACGGCGCCTGGAAAACAGCAGAAGGGTTGGGGGAGAACCTGGTCTTCACCTCCGGGATCTGCTGAGATGAGAGGAGAGCAGCATTAGAGCAATGCAAGTCGCAGCTTTCCGCACAGCGCGGGGGCTCTGAGCATCCTGCCCACCTCTGCCCCCTCTCCACAGATCCCCGCTGGCAAACACCGTGCCGTGCCACTGCAGGTGTGCTGGATGCCACTGCAGGTGTGCTGGATGCCACTGCAGGTGTGCTGGATGCCACTGCACTGGTGCTGGGTGGAGGCAGGGAGCTGAGCAGCACGTCTGGACACCAGCCCTCGGGAGAAGTCCACCAGGGTGCCCAAAAACAGAGCTGTACCAAATGCTGGCTGTGCCAGGTACAGACCTGAAAGAGCCCTTGCAGGATACGAGCACCTTGGCTCCGGAAGCATGCAGAGATAATGAAAGTGATCAAAACTCTCATGTTTCTGGAGTCAAAATTTCACCCTATTGGGTGCACCTGTATTAAGAACAAAGGACAGCCGGGTGCTTCGTGTCTGCATTAGAACCCAAAGGATTTGAGACAGGAGCAGTCGTAGCTGCGCACTCAGCCCAGGACTGGGGGCATCTGCCCATAAAGAATGAAAGTCCTGCTGACTGCTGAGGATTCTGACAGCACCATCCAGCCAAAAAGGATGAGGCCATGGGGAAAAAGCTATTGATCTGTTTGTTGTTGTTGAGCTGCTCTGTTTTCCATTCCTCAGGGGATGCATCTGACGTGCTAAGGAGCAGAAGCTGCATCCCAGCCAACCTGTCCTCCACTCAGCAGCAGGGCAGCCAGCGCTCCAAGTCCTGCAGGCAGCTTGTCAGCAAAGCCAACCTGATCAGCAAAGCCACAGGGCTTCAGGCAAGAGGTGAAGTCCAAAAGGCCCAGTGAAAACCAAGGGGAGTCTCACTATCTCACTCCTGTCAGAAATGGTGGTTCCTTGTCACCTACTTAATTTTATATGTCCCTCCTTAGCTGTCTGTGCCCTAGATGCTGTGGGGATCTCCAGCTCCAGCACGTGAGGTCTTTACACAGCCTGTAGCACAGTGCCCTAGGTGTCATGTGTTTCCATCTGAGATTTCACTTTTCTCTCTCCCTTCTTTAAGAAGTGGGAGAGACTGTGGGGTTCCTCTGGGACCCCCTCGTAGGGACCCTGTCAGTAGGCTGCAAGCACAGGAGGGCTGTATGCTTTAGAATCACAGAATCACCGAGGTTGGAAAAGACCTCCATGATCATCTGCTCCCACCATCCACCTACCAACAGTATCTCCCACTAAAACATGTTTTGCAGCCCCCCTCCTGACTTCACCAAAAACAGAGAACTGCCATTTCATGGTGGCTCTGCCCAGGACAGCTGCCAGTCTCCACATCTCCCACCAGTCCTCTGTTTGTGACCAGCAGGCATGGCAGGGCAGCCCTGCTGGCTGCCTTACAGCTGCCTGCTGCACAATGCCACTGCAGCACAGCACAGAGGTGCTCCTCCACAGGCAGTGCCCCTGCAGCCCCCGCTGCCAACCCCCGTCAGCCCAAGCTGCTCAGAGCACAGGGGAAGCATGGGTGAGGTTTGCAAATGCTCTCTTTTGCCTGAGGTAAGTGTCCCACTTTCAGTGGGTATCGCTGCACATACCCAGCCTCTGCGGAGGCTGTACTTTGCCATCTGCTGAT